CATAAATCTCACCAGTTACAGAATCATAATATTTATCAAAAAGATCCTCTACAAATCCAAGACCATGAATAATTTCATGAACTGCCGTTGCTAATTATGCTTCAAATCCTGCATTGGTTAATGTACCAACATCACTATATGCCATATTCCATCCTATAGCACCAAATATAGGTCTTTTTGTTTTATCATCAAAAACAATAGGAGCACAAAAAGCTAAAGTACTATCTTGACTATCATTCATCGTACTAACAAAAAATACCTATATTATTTAATTATAATTACCAGATCAGCATCATATGACGCTGTTAACAAGTTATCACTCATTTAAAAAAACTCTTTAAATTAATCTGGTGCATTTTTAGGCAATTATATTTTATCTGAACTTCTTCTTATTAGAAGATATTTAGACAAAAAAGTCCCTGATATTGAAAAGATTTTATCCAAAAAGTCTCTTGTCTCATCATCAGTATCAGTTACATATTCAAATTATATTCTTAGAGGTTCCCAACTACCTGATATGTCTATTGGAGATTCCTCTAATTATCTTTTGGTATTTTAATTCAATCTTCTTGATTTTGGAAGGGCTATAGTAAGTGATAGACAAATTAATAAAAGAATAAGCGATTGTAACTTAATCATATTTTTAATATTAATATAAAATCATTATCAATGCAATTCTTTAAATACTTCAAATATTTAATACTAAACAACATTATTTTAAAAACAATATTTAATATAATTATTAAATTAGGATTTATATTAATATTGATTTCAAATTATCAAATATTATATATAAATATATAAATAATCAAACTTAAAGAGTCTAAACCATCATTATAAAAATACCATAATATAACTTAATTTCAGATTCATAAATTAAGTGATTAAATTTTTATTTTTATCATTTTTTGCAATAAAATGATTGATACTATCTAAAAATTTAATTATTTGAATAGCAATAAAGAATCATTAAAATAATGTAGAGAAATTTTTAGAACTATTTATAAAATATCCAAAATCTATAATAAACTAAAAATTTAGTTAATTTATTTTTCAAAGGATAATCAAAAGAATAATCAAGTAAAATCAATGTGTAAATATTTTAATAGTAAATTATAAATAGTCTGTCAATTTATTTTTATATTCTAAATCCAATTCAAAACGATAATTTAAAATTAACAAATTTCCCATAAAAGTGAAAATAGTAAGGTGAAGGAAAAGCAAACCTCCTTAACTTCTTATACTAATAATAAATCTACTCTTAGTCAATAATATTGAATTGTTATAAATAATTTTTATTTATTTATCTTTGAATTAATAAAAAAATAACATATAACTATAAAAATTGAAATAAATCTTTTAGTTAATATACAAGCTTAAAAATATTCAGTTATTTAATCACTAAGACAAGATATATAATATTTTTACTTATTTAAATTAAACATAATCAGATTTAATTGAAAAAAATTTAATAATATGTCAATAACAAGGATAGGTGTTTGTACAATGAACCAATTTGCGATGGATTTTGATTACAACCTCTAAAATATAATTGAGAGCATAGAGATCTGTAAGAGAAAGCAATGTCTATACCGAATTGGTCCAGAATTAGAAGTTTGTGGTTACATGTGTGAAGATCATTTTCTAGAGTCAGATACTGTTACTCATTGTTGGTAAGAATTTTGAATAATATTAAAAGGGAAGCTGTATCTGAAATATTACCTTATACAAATAATATTGTATGTGATATTGGAATGCCTGTAATACATAAAAGTGTATTTTATAATTGTAGAGTGATTCTTTTAAATTAGAAAATACATCTGATAAGACCTAAGATTTATTTGGCAGATGATGGAAATTATAGAGAATCAAGATATTTTACACCATGGAGTAAAGAAATAGAGGAATTAGAATTACCAACATTCATTTAAAAGATAACAGGATAAAAATGTGTTCCAATAGGAGTAGCAATATTATNGTGATTAAATTTTTATTTTTATCATTTTTTGCAATAAAATGATTGATACTATCTAAAAATTTAATTATTTGAATAGCAATAAAGAATCATTAAAATAATGTAGAGAAATTTTTAGAACTATTTATAAAATATCCAAAATCTATAATAAACTAAAAATTTAGTTAATTTATTTTTCAAAGGATAATCAAAAGAATAATCAAGTAAAATCAATGTGTAAATATTTTAATAGTAAATTATAAATAGTCTGTCAATTTATTTTTATATTCTAAATCCAATTCAAAACGATAATTTAAAATTAACAAATTTCCCATAAAAGTGAAAATAGTAAGGTGAAGGAAAAGCAAACCTCCTTAACTTCTTATACTAATAATAAATCTACTCTTAGTCAATAATATTGAATTGTTATAAATAATTTTTATTTATTTATCTTTGAATTAATAAAAAAATAACATATAACTATAAAAATTGAAATAAATCTTTTAGTTAATATACAAGCTTAAAAATATTCAGTTATTTAATCACTAAGACAAGATATATAATATTTTTACTTATTTAAATTAAACATAATCAGATTTAATTGAAAAAAATTTAATAATATGTCAATAACAAGGATAGGTGTTTGTACAATGAACCAATTTGCGATGGATTTTGATTACAACCTCTAAAATATAATTGAGAGCATAGAGATCTGTAAGAGAAAGCAATGTCTATACCGAATTGGTCCAGAATTAGAAGTTTGTGGTTACATGTGTGAAGATCATTTTCTAGAGTCAGATACTGTTACTCATTGTTGGTAAGAATTTTGAATAATATTAAAAGGGAAGCTGTATCTGAAATATTACCTTATACAAATAATATTGTATGTGATATTGGAATGCCTGTAATACATAAAAGTGTATTTTATAATTGTAGAGTGATTCTTTTAAATTAGAAAATACATCTGATAAGACCTAAGATTTATTTGGCAGATGATGGAAATTATAGAGAATCAAGATATTTTACACCATGGAGTAAAGAAATAGAGGAATTAGAATTACCAACATTCATTTAAAAGATAACAGGATAAAAATGTGTTCCAATAGGAGTAGCAATATTATAAACATTGGATACAGAAATAGGTATAGAAATATGTGAAGAAATGTGGACTCCAATACCAACAAGTGCAAGTTAAGCACTTGATGGAGCTGAGATTATTATAAATTCGAGTGGTTCTCATTTTTAGGTAGGAAAAATAAAAGAGAGAACAGAATTATTTAAAGACATAACAAAAAGAAATGGTGCTTGTTATGCATTTTGTAATTTAAGAGGATGTGATGGTAATAGATTGTATTTTGATGGATGTTCTTGTATAGTTTTAAATGGAAAAGTATTTGCAAAAAGTGATGCATTCTCTCTAAAAGATGTTGAAGTTACTACTTGTGACATAGATTTGTAGGAAGTGAGAAATATTAGAATTAATATAAAGAGTAGATCTTTGATGGCTTCAAAATAGAAACATTTCCCTCGTGTTAAATTAAATATTAATTTAACATAATAATAAAATTATGTTTATTATAAAGATATTCCAATATAATATGAAACTGAAATAGAAGATTCTATAGCATGTTATTTATGGGATTATTTAAGAAGATCAGGAGCAACAGGATTTATGTTACCTTTATCAGGTGGAGTTGATAGTGCAGCTACAGCAATTAGTGTATTTTTTATGGCTAATAAAATATACTAATCAATTTCTATCATAGATAATGATTATAACACTCATAATAAAGTTCTTAAATAACTTAGACAAATAGTCTAGGATGAAAATTTCACTCCATAATCTCCATAAGAAATTGTTAATAAGATTTTTTTTACTGTTTATTTGGAATCATAAAATTCTTCACCTGAGTCAAAACATCGATCTTAACTTTTAGCTGAATAAATAGGAAGCTAACACTATGAAGTTAATATTGATGATGTTTGTAATGCATGTTTAAATGCCATTAAACCTATTTTAAAAGAAGAACCTCAATATGTAGTCAATGGAGGTACTTTATAAGAAGATTTGGCTTTGTAGAATATTTAGGCTAGATCTAGAATGATCATCACCTATTTATTAGCTCAGCTTACTCCTTGGAATAATGGAAAGTAAGGGTTTTTGATTGTTTTGGGATCAAGCAATCTTGATGAATCATTAAGAGGTTTTTTTACAAAATATGACTGTTCAAGTGCGGATATAAATCCTATTGGAAGTTTAAGCAAAAATGACTTAAAATAACTTTTAGACTTTTGTTACAAAACTTATAGTTTTTCTGCTATTAAATTAATTTTAGAAGCTAAGCCCTCTCCAGAATTAAGACCTTTAACAGCTGAAGGACATGTTTCTGAAAAAGATATGGAGTTAACTTTTGATGAATTAGAAACATTTGCTAAATTAAGAAAAGTTTAAAAACTAGGTCCAGTTAGTTTATTTAAAAAATTAAGATATTTATGGAGTGATTTATCACCATAACAAGTTGCAGAAAAAGTTAAGAAATTTTTTAAATTTTATGCTATTAATAGACATAAAGTTGTTAGCATAACTGCTTCATTTCATGCTTAATCATACTCTTGTGATGATAATCGATTTGATTTTAGATAATTCTTATATAATTGGAGATGGCCATGGTAATTCTCAAAAATTGATGAGAATTCCAAATGAAATATAAAATTATCATTAAATTTAATTTATAATCTTATTTCATATCAACTCATGTATTAATGAATGATGATATGCTAATTTTGGAAAATATTAAATATCTGCAGAATTTTCATAAAATACTATTTTTAGTTTTATTAAACATGGAGCTATTTCTAACTAACAAAAAGAATAAATCGATTTTAGTAGCTATCTAGGAAATCTGATTTTTTAAAATTATTAGTTAAAAAATTCAATTTAATATGAAATTTAGAACTTTAAGAAAGATTTAATAGAATCACTTAATCTACAATATCTTATATTTTAGAGCAAATTGTAAAATTTAAATTTTTTAGCAATTGTTTCAGATAAATGAAATAAAAAGTAAAAATAGAGAATTTATTTAATTTATTGAAGATTTCTAAATTATTTTGAAGCAAAATTAATTATTAAATTTTATTTTTGAAGATTGCATGTCAAATTCTTATTCTAAAATAATTAAAGATGTTTATAATTCCAAAAAATTATTGATTAAATGTTAAAAATATGTAGCAGTTCAAATTTAGAAGTATTTACCCTGAAGAATATTAGAATGATAGATTTTAAGATTATTTTTGACTTGATAATTGATCAGTAAAAAAGATGTCTCAATTAGCAATTAAGAAAGCATGATTCTATTATAAAATAATATTTTAATAAACAAATTATTTGTAAAATTTTGAATAATAAAAATAGATATAAAAAATGTTATTATGCAAATAGAATTTGAACAATCAAAGTTGTATAAAGTTAGAATCTAATGAAATTTGTGTTGATTTATTTTTAAAATTAAAAAAACAGTGATAATTATAAATTAATTAGAATTGATGGGTAATTGCACAAAAATGTGCTATGTAAATGAAGAAGTGTATTAAATAAGTCGTAATGAAGAATTCTTAATAGATATTGGGTTTAAAAACGATGAGATCTAATAGCCTTCAACATAAACAAGATAAAAAGAAAATAAAGAAGACTAATATTCATAATGTTCAAATAGAAGTGTCCTTCCTCACATAATAATGAGTTCTGATGAAAAAATAGTAGACTAAACTATATATTCAACTATTCCAGTAAAATTACCTAGAATAATGATGGAAGGAGGTTCATACTATGAAGGAGAATGGATGTAAGGAAAAAGATGGGGCTAAGGTGAACAAAAGTGGCCAGATGGGTACAAACTTATTTTATTAGAGTTATTAGGTCAATTTATTAAGGAGAATGGAAGAACAATTAAGCTAACGGGTATGGAATTTTGATTCACCCTGATGGAGATCTTTATAAAGGTGAGTGGTTGAATGATTAAGCATCTGGAAAAGGAGTTTATATAAATTATTTATCAGCATAATATGATGGTGATTGGATAGAAGATAAATAGCATGGTTATGGAGTAGAGAAATGGCCTGATGGATCAGTTTTTGAAGGTAGTTATTATTTATTTTTAAAATTAGGTTATTATAAAGAAGGTTAAAAAGAGGGATTTGGTAAACTTACATATCCGGATGGATCTCGATATGAAGGAAATTTTTTAATGAATAATTTACATGGTACAGGGAAATATTTTTGGCCAGATGGAAGAATATATGATGGTTAATGGGTTGCAAATCAAATGGAAGGAAACGGTACAATGACATATATTGATGGTATAACAAATTTATTAGTTAGGAAAATAGTATATTGGTGAATATAAATAGGGATAAAAGCATGGTTTAGGAACTTATATATGGGAAGATGGTCACAAATATATAGGAGAATGGGAGATGGATAAATAACATGGAGTTGGAGAATATTTCTTTATTAATGGAACTTCATAAAAAGGAGTTTGGTAAAATGGGAAAAGAATTAAGTGGGAATGATATATTTAATTAATACTATATAAAATTCAAATAAATTTTATGGTAATTTAATTAAAAACATAAATCGTTAAATAAATTAATTGACTTTTAAGAGTAGCTAAATCAATTTTATTTCCTTTATTAAAACTATTTTTAATTTCAAAAAAGCTTTCTTTAAATAAAAAACTACGATTACATCTTTGCTTATAAATAAACTAAATTTATTTCAAGAGTTAAAATATCATCTTTTTCTTTTTATTAATTGTTTCTTAAAAATGTATATGATTAAATTTTAGAAATATTTTGAGATTAAGTAATTTTTTCGATTATTCAAGATTAATTATGGAAATCTATAATAATAAAAATATACATAAAAATATCTTTCTTTAATTTTATAATATATTGAGCTAATAGCAAAGTTTATTATTCATGATGAATGTAAAACTTTTTAAGATTAATTAAAAAATTCAATGGATTTATTGATTTCAATATTTTAGAAATGATGAAAGTATGATATTTATGTATAATATAAATTTAATAACCAACCATTTAATAAAATATAATCACAAAAAAGCTTGAATTATCTAAGTTATTTATTTTTAGTACTGTTCCTGAAGTAATTTAATAATTTCCTAAATAATTTTGATCTATTAATTCTCTCCCATTAAGATATAATCTACAAGTTTTTTCTTTGGCGGCTTCTAAAATTTTGAATTTAAGTTCAAGAACAGTAGATGTATTTTCTGTATGTATAAAGAAATCTCTAGGTAGTTTACTACTCCGTATCCTCACCTAAATAGAGTAACAGATTACTTTTAATGATGATGCTTAAAAATCTAGGAGTAATAATTGATTATTCCATGAAATTGGTTCATTAATAATAAATACTGGAACTTAAAATAGTTCTTATTCTTGATAAATAATATTTGTACTATCTGAAATCAATAATTGTATTGTATTTCTAATCATTTTTAATTTACACAATGCTAAAATAGCAAGAGATGACTCTAAATCTAAAAGATGAGAAGTACTTTCTTCATCTTAGGAGAGTGCTTTACGTATACTTGACCAATGTATAGAATCTTTATAACTATCTTTATATGATTTGATTTCTCTACCCCAAAATTCATTTTACATCTTTTCCCATTCGATTCTGGATATATTGGTAGTATATTGATTAGTACATCTGATTCCTTAGCCTGTATATTTATTTTGAATCAAAGTAAAATGAATAGCATATTTACGATTCACATTATCAGGATGTTGAATATCCAATAAATGAAAATATTACTAATCTATTTGGTCTAAATATATACCTCTTCTTAATGGTTCATATATTTACTCTTATTAGAACATACTCCCATTTTAATAATATTTATACATATAATGCATTAAAATATTTCAAAAGTCAGCTTCATTATCATCATCTAAATTTTCAATTCCATCATCTTCTTCTTCTTCTTCTTCATCCTCATCAACTCCACCATCTAAATCATCTATATCATCTCCTTCTTCAACATCTTCATCCATTTACTATCTATTAAATCCACCTTTTTAATTTCTCATAAAATCATTATTATTACGCTTTTCTTTATTACTTGATTATAATCGGGAATCTCCTCCTAATTATTCTAACTAATCATCGTTTCCATCATCATCTCCTCCTCTTAATTCATTCATTTCTGCATCCTAAATTACTCCTCTTACACCTTATAAAATCTAATTCTTTTTCTTTTATTCTATTTCAGCTTATTTATTTTATCCATCTAATACATGTTCTAAATAAACTAAATTTCTAAATTTCTCCACATATGTCTAAATTATTCTTAATAAATCAAATTTACTTAATATAACTTTTCTAATTCGTATTCTTATCTATCATATTCCTCTTAATAAGCAGGTTTTACACTAGTCATTCCCTTTAATCTTTTTTCTGCTTATTCTAATTCTTTTGTTTTTCTCTTTATTTTCTCTTCTAATTATTTTTATTCCCTCTCCAAATTTACAACATATTTAGACATCTCCTGAATATTTTACTCTTGCTATTTCAATATTGTTTATATGCATTTTTGTATATATGATTATTCAGATTAGGAATTCCCTCCTCTTGATACATTTGACAAAAATTGTAAAGCTTTTTCCTATTATTCATCTATAATATATTATTACTCTTGCTAATTTTACTTCATCTTCTTTCCCTAATTAATCATATAGTCTTGTAGCAAGATCAGTAATTTCTTAAGCCAATATTTTATGGCTCTTTATATTACTTAATTTTGATGGGAGAGACTTTCAATACTCATTGACATATTTACAAAATCATGAATCTCTTCCTCATCAGCTGGTGGTGAAACTTAAGCTTTGTATAAAAATGTTGAAATTTTCAAAATCTCTTATACTGCATATACATCTGCCATATACAATCTCTTTGGGTTTATCTTTAATCTTGCTTTACTAACAAATAGAGTTGTTATTTGTTTTATAAATTCTATTCGATGTCTCTGAATTTTAATTTTATTTTTACTTCCTCATCAATATTATCAGAAATATCAGAATTAGGATCATACTTTTATGCTAGCCAAAAAAGTATATCTGCAACGAGCTCAAAATTAGGCCTTCGAAAATTTTCCATAGAAATGATCCTATGATAACCCAAAGCCCTCATTTATTCACAGAAGTTACGAAGTTCTCTATATGACATATAATTATTATAATTATTTCTTTTTTTAATTTTAAAAACTATCCATCTCATATATTAAAAATTTTAATAGTAGACTTTTTTCTAAAATTTTTGGGAGTTTGTATGAGTTTTTTATTAATTTGACACTCAAAAATTATAAACTAGTTTAATTTTCTTTTTATAGAATATAATTTAATTTCTAAAATAATTTTTTGTTTAAATAAGTTGATGATAATTTTTTTCATTTTTTAAGTAAATGATTTTTTAAATGATTTTGAGAAGCTTTTATCTAATTATTCTATTGCAAAGTTAAAATATCTTTAATAAAATTACATTTATACCCTTTATTACATAATTGTAAAGTAAAAGAACTACAATCAAAATTAATAGTACACATATACATATTGATATAATTGGCTAAAGGTTAGACTTTAAATCTGTAAATAACTTAAATATTAAAATTAAATATAAGTACATTTGTTCCTTAGAAAGCTGGATGAATTCGATTGCTTTAAACCTGTAATATGACTTTTTCAACATTACTCATTTAACATTGTTCACTCAGACCGATTGAAAAGTATGTTTATGAAAAGTCTATTTTTGAATACTCAAAATTCAATCCAGTTTCTTTGTTTTCGAGAATTTTTTATTCATATTATGATGTTAATGTCTCTAAATTTTAAGTAATTTATTTAAATAGTTCAATCTTTTATAATATATTAATAAAAATACGTTATCTTGTGTTTTAACTAATTATTCTTATTCTGTAAGACATTTATAATAGTCTTCGAAAACTTAATATGCTAAATCTCTTCTAAAATTGTTATCATATAAAACCATATAAATTCTATCTAAATCAGTAATTTTGAGTATCCAAAAGCCTTCATCAGTAGTGACTACATATATAACATCATATTCTAATTAGGAAAATTCTAAAAAGTTTTTAACAATAATTTTGGCATGAGATTCAGCAGTATTTTTTTTTGTGTGATTACAGTGATATAAAATTTACCAATTTTAGAATCTTAATAATAAATAGGCTTTGATGTAATAAATCTTATCATATATTCCATAAAATTTAAGATCTATTTTTTGGGGTATGGCATTAGGATTTGTAAAATTATCAGGTTCTTATTAAAATTGTTAGTATTATTGCCCATATTAAGCAACATTACTGAATTATGCATTTTAATCAATTTACTATAGCTAATTATTATTTGGATCTAACTATTGTTATTACTATTATTATTATTATTATTATTATTATTATTACTATTACCATTATTATTATTGGTATTGTTATTATTAAATTTGTTATTGCTAAGGAACTATTTATTGATTTTAAAATTGCTAATTTTACTATATATTCGATTAACTTTATTGTTAAAATATTCCACTATAAGTTTATCCATATTAATTCATAACATTCTATCCATGAACAGGAGGGGCGTTTATATTTGATTATCCAAAAATGCTGCTTCTAGCACTATTGGGTTAAATTGTATACATGTTTGAATTATTATTAAAATATTAAAATATGTCAAATGAGAATGCAATTGATTTAGTTTTGAAAAATTTAGATCAACAAGGATAACTGACTAAGGTAAATCCAAAATAAAAGCATCAAGTGTTTGAAATCTTTAATTAATCAAAAAGCAAAAAGTCAGGAGCGTCAAACCTTTTTGAAAAAATGAGAAAGCGAAACTATTCAATAAGATAATGAATTATTATAGTTATTGGAAGTGGAAAAGGAATTCTTCCAATTATTTGATTTTGAGCTCACGCTATTGGATTGTAAAGTGAAAGTAATCATTTTCTTTGAGTTGATTAAAAAAATTGGATTAAAATAATAAAGTGATTTGGACATTAATTTGTCTATTTTAAAAAATATACAGTTGTTAAAACTTAGTATTATGAATAAATTAATCTCAATCAATAAAAAGTAGGTTAAATACACATTTTTAATTTTTTGCTTAATTAAAGAGAAAAGAATTACTCTAAGAATAATAATGATTTATTAATTCAATATTTTTATAATGTTTTTGGAATTCTTTATTTTAATAAACATAATAGTTGGAGAGGAAATAGTAAAAGAAGTCAGTAGTGCATGTAGATGTCAGCAAATATTGAGTGAAAAAGATTGCAACTAAAAATGTAAATGGAATTTAGAGAAAAAAAAATGTTTTGATCGAAAGTGTACTGAAATAGAAGAAGAAGAAGCATGTTTTAGTAGGAATTGTAATTTTATTGAGAATTAATGCTAAAGCTTAGATGATTGTAGCGATATTTTAATTAAATATTTTTGCAATTTAAATTCTAAATGCATTTATGATGATTAAAATCTAAATTGTAGAGATGAAATAAATGAAGAAATAGATTGCAGTTCTTTTAAGACTAAGAAAAGTTGTTAAAATAATATAGATTCAAATAATAATTATTGTATCTGGATTGATAATGATGTAGAAGATGGATATGTGAAATAACCTGGTAATGATTTTGGTACTTGTAAGAGTTATCCTTTTGAAACATGTGATAGTGCTAACCTAATATTTCATCCAATAGAGTTATGCGAAAGGAATTAATTTTAATGTATATGGTCGAACGAAAGTTGTTAGTAAAAGGATTGTACTTTGATGGGGAATGATGAATAATTGTGTAAAGAGAATTTTTCTTCAATAAGAGAGGGAAAAAAGATTTTATTATGTAGTTGGAATGTTGAGAAAAAGTAATGTGAAAATGGATTTAACGTTTCAACACTGAGAGAAGAATAATGCTATAATGAGAAAACATTATTTTAGTTAACATTTGATGAGGAAAATAAAAAATGTACAAAATGTCCTGGTATGGGATATATAATAGTGAGTAGTCTATTATTTTAATTGATATTTTTGTGAATGAATATAAAGTTATTATATTAAAAAAGCTTGATGATTGCCTTACTTTTGAGTTTATTATTGTTTTATACACGTTGTTTTGATGTTAATTTATCTGAGTAATGTTAATGCCCAGATATAAAGAGTAGGAATGAATGTCAAAATAAATGCTAATGGGATAGTATTAAGAGTATATGTTATGAGAAGAAGCTTGAAAGTGCAGGATCAATTTTTCCAATTAGTTAGTTATGTTTGAATGTAAAAAAGCCAGATACAGATTGTGCAATAACATTAGGATGTGCATATTACGAAGATAAAGAGAAAAAGATGATATGTGAATAATTTAGTGGATGTTAAGCTTATACAAGAAGAACAAATGAAGAATGTTAGAAGGTATCAAGACAATGTACAAGTGATGGGTAAATATGCATTGATCCATTGAAATGTGAAGAATATTAGACTTAGATTTTGTGTTTGTAGAACAAAAGTATTTCAGGGACAGGGAAATGTAAATGGTCATAATAAGATAAAAAATGTTAAGATTAAGTGTGTACTGATGCATTAGAAACACTTACAACAGATGCTTAATGCTAAAGATTCTTATAAGGTTGTAAAACAACAGGTAAAGGTTGTGTGTAAGAACTTTAAAGTTGTTCTACTTATAAAATAGATGATTGTCTAGGTAAAATAGGTTCTGATGGTTATTGTTAAGAAAAGGATGGTACATGTCAGAAAATGCCTTGTAATGATGCTCCCGCATTTTATCATGATAAATAATGTTAAACATTTTAAATAGGTTGTGTATCTAAAGGAAAAGGTTGCATAGAATCTCCATTGTAATTATGTTCCACATATTAAGAAGAAGGACTTAATTGTTTGGTGTTGATAGGTTCAGATGGTCCTTGTGAAGCAACTCCTGATTAAAAAGTTTGCAGAGCTAGATAATGTTAGAGCTTGATGGGAACTACAAATAAAGAATGTGATTCATATAAAAAAGAATGTATAACAACAGGAGTAGAATGTACTGATAAATTATAATTATGTTCTACTTATTCAGATAATTGTGATGTCAGAATAGGATTAGATGGATTTTGTAAGACAGGTACTAACATAAATTGTGAATTACGATTATGTAGTGATGCTGATGTCTTACTATAAACTGATGAAGAATGTGATTCATTTTAAAAAGGTTGTCTTACGACAGGTACAGGATGTACTAATATCAGAAAACCATGTAATCAATATAAAGGAACGAAAAGCACTTGTTCTTTGATTATTGGTTCTGATGGGAGATGCAAAGGAGATGATGATATTAAATAAGACAATTGCCTTATTGCTTCTTGTTCAGATGCTCCTAAAGAATATAAAACTCATGAAAAATGTAAAATCTTTCATTCCAGTTGTCTATCTAATGGAGCAGGATGTGAACTTTAAAATACTTGTTTATCTACTTTTAGTGAATTGGCTTGTAAAGGAACTTCTAATTGTTTATGGAATTCAATCTGTGTTACTGCCAAATGCACATCTTATTATACTATCAATTTATGCAAGTAAAACAAAGAAAATGGTTTACCATGTTTTTGGACTGGTACATTCTGTAGATTACTTGAATGTACTGATGCCCCAAATAAATACACTACTAATCAAGATTGTGATAAATTTTTACATGGATGTCTTACAACTTTAGTTGGGTGCATTCATTAAACAAGTCCCTGTTCATCATATTCTGGAAAAGCTGATGAATGTAAGAGTTTTATAGGTAATGGCAAAAGATGTTGGGGTACTAACAATATTACAATATAATCTTGCTCTGAAAGATTATGCTCTTTAGATACTACTAGTACTACTGATGAAGATTGCGATTAATTTCAATTCAAATGTAAAACTAAAGGAATTGGATGTATCAGTCCTAATGAACNTTATAAAATAGATGATTGTCTAGGTAAAATAGGTTCTGATGGTTATTGTTAAGAAAAGGATGGTACATGTCAGAAAATGCCTTGTAATGATGCTCCCGCATTTTATCATGATAAATAATGTTAAACATTTTAAATAGGTTGTGTATCTAAAGGAAAAGGTTGCATAGAATCTCCATTGTAATTATGTTCCACATATTAAGAAGAAGGACTTAATTGTTTGGTGTTGATAGGTTCAGATGGTCCTTGTGAAGCAACTCCTGATTAAAAAGTTTGCAGAGCTAGATAATGTTAGAGCTTGATGGGAACTACAAATAAAGAATGTGATTCATATAAAAAAGAATGTATAACAACAGGAGTAGAATGTACTGATAAATTATAATTATGTTCTACTTATTCAGATAATTGTGATGTCAGAATAGGATTAGATGGATTTTGTAAGACAGGTACTAACATAAATTGTGAATTACGATTATGTAGTGATGCTGATGTCTTACTATAAACTGATGAAGAATGTGATTCATTTTAAAAAGGTTGTCTTACGACAGGTACAGGATGTACTAATATCAGAAAACCATGTAATCAATATAAAGGAACGAAAAGCACTTGTTCTTTGATTATTGGTTCTGATGGGAGATGCAAAGGAGATGATGATATTAAATAAGACAATTGCCTTATTGCTTCTTGTTCAGATGCTCCTAAAGAATATAAAACTCATGAAAAATGTAAAATCTTTCATTCCAGTTGTCTATCTAATGGAGCAGGATGTGAACTTTAAAATACTTGTTTATCTACTTTTAGTGAATTGGCTTGTAAAGGAACTTCTAATTGTTTATGGAATTCAATCTGTGTTACTGCCAAATGCACATCTTATTATACTATCAATTTATGCAAGTAAAACAAAGAAAATGGTTTACCATGTTTTTGGACTGGTACATTCTGTAGATTACTTGAATGTACTGATGCCCCAAATAAATACACTACTAATCAAGATTGTGATAAATTTTTACATGGATGTCTTACAACTTTAGTTGGGTGCATTCATTAAACAAGTCCCTGTTCATCATATTCTGGAAAAGCTGATGAATGTAAGAGTTTTATAGGTAATGGCAAAAGATGTTGGGGTACTAACAATATTACAATATAATCTTGCTCTGAAAGATTATGCTCTTTAGATACTACTAGTACTACTGATGAAGATTGCGATTAATTTCAATTCAAATGTAAAACTAAAGGAATTGGATGTATCAGTCCTAATGAACCTTGTTCATCATATACTGGAGATTCTACTCTTTGTGCTTAATTCACAGGATCAGATGGAAAATGCTACAATGATCTTGATAACAAATCTTCATGCAGATAACTCATCTGTAATGATAATACCACTGCTACAACTGATGATGAATGTTATTAATTTTTAGATCATTGTCTTTATGGAGGAGCTGGATGTATACTTAAAACTGAACCATGCATCAGTTATACAGGTTCCTCCATTGATATCTGCTCTTAATTTTAATCTAATGGTAAACAGTGTTGGTGGGTATCTGGCACTAATTGCGTAGAAAAAGAATGTGGTCATAATACCACTGCAACAACTGATAGAGACTGTCAAGAATTTCTTTAAGACTGTGTTACAAATGGTGCAGGATGTTAACATTTCTCTCTTGATTGCAACTTATATAATGGCACTCAAACCACCTGCATGTCATTTAAAGGAAATAATAGACCTTGTATTTTACGAAGTTAATGTTCTCAAAAATCTTGCGATGAAGTTATAAACCCTACTTCTAATACTGATTGTATTGTATATATGAAAACCTGCAGATTCGATGGTACAAAATGTATTATTGCACAACCTAATTGTGCTTTTTATATTGGAGATAGCACACTTTGTTAATCTCTCTCAGATTCTAATAATTTAGGATGTTGGCTTCCAATTGGATCTAATGGATCATGCGTTAATCGATAATGTACAGACATAGGATCAGCCATAAATTAATAAGATTGTGATAATTTTTTGATAGGATGTGTATTTGATGGAACATCATGCTAGTAAAAATAAAATAATTGCGAAGATTACACTAATTTTACATAAGAGGCATGCAAATAAGTGAAAACAATTAATGGAAATAAATGCTGGAAGAATGAGAATTCAGACGGTAACTGTGAATCAATATCTTGTGATAATAATATTGATTCCCCTTCAGAAGAAGTTTGTATTTCATATTTGAGTACATGTGTATTTACAGGAACAAAATGTACTACAATTAAGAATTCTTGTAGTTTATATACAGAATTTACAATAGATGCTTGTAAAGCAGTTAAGAAAATAGATGGTGATAAATGTTGGGCAATTGAAGATGGTAGTTGTATAGAAAGACAGTGTAGTGATGTAGTGGCATCAACAGATGTAATACTAAACAATGATAATTGTGTTGAATATTTAAAAACATGTAGATTAGGGATGTCAAATTAATGTATTGTATCAAGAGCTAATTGTGCAGATTATGGACCTGAATTTTCTTTTGATGTATGCAGATAAATAACATCAACAAATGGAAATTAATGTTGGAAAATGGATTCTGAGAATGGTCAATGTGAGGAAGCTTTAAGTTCATGTAATTAATATAGTAATGCATCTTAAGATTTATGTTATAAAATTAAAGATAGTACTGGAAAATTATGTTGGAAATCTGGACCTGGAATTGGATCTTGTGAAGATAGAAATTGTTCAAATTAAGTTACTAATATTAGTTAATCTAATTGTTTTTAACATCTTTAGTCTTATACTTCTACAAATTAATGTGTTTATCCAGGAGTAGGATAAACATGTAAATAGATAGAAGATAATTGTTAAAAATATACAGGCTTCACTTAACAAGCATGTAAAACAGTAACTACTCTTGATAATAAAAAATGTTGGAAAACAAGTGAAGGAATAGGAATTTGTGAAGAAAGAACTTGTGATTAAAATATAATTAATCCATCATTTGAAAATTGTTAGGCTCATCTTACAATTTGCACATTTAATGGTAAGACATGTTAAAAAAAAGAGGATTATTGTTCTAATTATATAAATATGTCCCAAGAATAATGTCGAATAATTGTATCTAATATAGATGGAAGATGTTGGTCATTAACAACTGGAATAGGTTCTTGTATAAAAAGAGTATGTGAACATAATGCAACATCAATTTCTGATATAGTTTGTGAAGATTTTCTTAGTGGATGTATAACTAATTCAAAGGGATGTGTATTATCAACAACTGCATGCTCTACTTTTAGTGGTACAACAAGTTTATGTTATTCTATTAATGGATGCAAAAGAGATGAAAATATTATTGGTACTTGTGAAGTAAGAAATTGTTTAGATGATTAAGATTCTATAACTGATGAGAATTGCCATAAATTCTTAGAAGGTTGTGTTACCAAAGGTAAAGGATGCATTTCAAAGACTGAACCATGTACATCATATTTGGGAAATAGAGAAACTTGTAAGAAATTCAAAGGAAATGGTAGAAGTTGTTGGAATACTTAGAATGCTACAGAAAGAACTCCATGTATTGATAGATTGTGCTCTGATAATGATTATAGTACAACAGATTAAGATTGTGAAGCCTTTTCATTTGGATGTGTAACTAAAGGAATTGGATGTATTGATAAATCCTTACCTTGTTCAAAATATTTAGGTACATAATTATCTTGTGCTACTTTTAAAGGATTAAATGGTACTAAGAAATGTTGGAATGTTGTTACAGCAACTACTACATCTGTTTGTATTGATCGATTATGTACTCATAATACTAAATCAACAACAGATAAAGATTGTGATGAATTCTTATCAGGCTGTATTACAAAAGGTACTGGTTGTGTCAATAGATAATTATGTAAAAACTTTTTAGGAACAATCAAGACTTGTCCCAATTTCTCTGCTATTGATAAACCTTGTTAAGGAGTAAGCAATGTTGTTGCATCTTGTGAATCAGTTAATTGTTATGAAGCTCCTAATACAGCTGATTCTGATGTGGCTTGTGATAAATTTAAATCTACTTGTAAATCTACTGGATTTGGATGCGTTGCTTCCATTACTTGTGAAGATATTCAAACTAAAGAAATTTGTAAAGCTAATCCCAACTGTATTTACACATAAAATTGTAGAGAATTACAAAAGGATTGTTCTGTATTCAAGACTTAAAGTCTATGTATCAATACACCTGTTTTAGTGGGCAATTTGAAATCGAGATGCTCTTGGCATTATAAAAGTGGTAAAGGTGTATGTGAAAATTGGGAATGTTTTGATGCATCTAAGATGATTACTTCCCATGAAATTTGTAATGCATTAAATAAGAATTGTACTACTTCAGGAAATGGTTGTATTGAACTTGGTCCTTGTGCTACTTATATTACTTCGAATGTTTGTTAAGCAGCTAAAACTACTGATAAAGGAGACACGTGCATTTGGGATAAAACTTCATGTAGAGCTAAAAAATGCTCAGATGCATCTAAAGCATTTAAAAATGATGAAAAATGTGAAACATACTTAACGAAATGTTTAACTACAGGTTAAGGTTGTGAAAAACCACATTTTGGCTGTGATAAAATTCTAACATAAGTCAGATGTACCATTGATACATAATCGAAACCTTGCCTTTGGAAAAATGGGAAATGTATTTCTCATAAATAATGTTCTGATCACATTGATACAACTTTTGAAGGATGCTAATCATTTGGTGAAAAATGTGTTAGTGATGGTACAACTTGTTTATCCATGACATTATGTGAAAGATACAAAAATGAAATTAGTTGTCTTTATGGAACTGATGGAATTTGCGGATGGTTACCTCCAAATGGCTCAAATCCTGCATAATGTGTTTTATTTAAAGAATGCAAATAAGCTATCAGTTCAGATAATGCTACTTGTGGTTTATTTTCTAATTCATGTACTATATATAAACATACAACATGTTCTAAATTACCTATTTGCATTAGTGATGGTAAATAATGTTTCCCAAAAGGAAAATGTGAAAGCTATTTAACTGAATAGGCCTGCTCCAATTTTGGTGATGATGGTAAATGCTTTTGGGAAGTAAAAGATTCTAAAACAAAATGTAGATTAAGAGAATGTACTGATGCTACTGTTTAAAATGCTAATAATATTGTAACACATTAAAGTTGTAATGCATTTTAAGCTATTAAATATTGCACTACTAATAGCATTGGATGTATAGATATGAATAAATGTGATAAATATGATAAAAATAGTTGTTTCATTGGAATAGATGGAGAATGCATTTTTGATAAAGAAAAATGTAGAATTAAAATTTGTACAGATTATAAAGAAGTTACTTCAGTAGAATGTAATCTAAAATTAAAAGGATGCATATCTGATGGTACTGTTTGTCTAACTAAATCAAATTGTGCAACATATCAAACCAAATTGGCCTGTCATTCTAATGGAATTGATGGAATATGTGTCTGGAACGAAGTGAAAAATCAAGATAATACAATAACATCAAATTGTAAACTTATGACAAAATGTGAGGATGCATATCAAGATTAAATAGCTTGCGAATTCAAAAAATACACCTGTTAATATATTATAGATATTAATACTAAAATTAGTTAATGTGTTTCTCATAATTGTAGTTCTTTAGCTGAAGGAACAAATTGTCTTCCTATATATTCTTTTGATTAAAAAAAAGCAATAATTTGCATTCCTAATAAAGAAGCATTGAGTAATAATTCAACATCTAATACTAATTCTACATCTAACACAAATTCAACTTAAAATAATAAAATTTTGTGCATACAAGGGGATCCTGCATTATTAGAACAGTCTTATTGTCTTACTTATAGTGCCTATACTTATACTTTTGATTAATCTTAATCTAAATGTACTAAATGTAATAATAAAGAAAATATATCAGCTAATTCTATTCCAACTAATAATACCAATTAAACTGAAAATTATAGTGGTGTTATAATAGCAATTGTAAGCATTCTTATTAGTTTTATTACATTTTGATATTGATTATGATCGTTATTATGGATATGATTTTATAATATTCTTAAAAACGGAATTATAAATTATTCTTATAGTTTCTATCTAACTTTTTTATTTTTTTTGTAAACATCAAATAAATGTAAATATTTTGGAGGAAGTAATATTATCTATTTCATTATTTTTATTCGTTTCTCTAAAAAATATTGATGTCAAAATGTTAAAAAAAAAAAAACTCGTTTTGAATTTGAATTAAATAAAATGAGAATGATTAATCAAAGATGATTTAATTCTTGGCAGAATTTAAATTAAAATGAGATTTAATCATTAATTTCTAATTGTTTATATTATAATTATATGTTGTTTTATGAAAATATAAGTATAAAATGGTTATTGTTTATGTTTAAAAACATTCTCAAAGGATGCTTCATAAGGGATTCATTATTAATAATAAGTCATTTGATATTTTAAATTACTAAAAATTTTTAAAGATTTTTTTACCTTCATGCTTTTTAATTGCCTAGGATACTTGATAGCAAATGACTAATCTAAACACGAAGTTTCTCTAAACACATCCCCGCTAGGTTTAACAATAAAAGTAAAAACTAAATATACTTATATAGATGACTAGTACAGATTCATAAATAGCTTTCATACCAAGAGGTACAATCGATAGTGTATTAACATGGTTTCGTTCAATAAATGAAGGTATTTTTGAATATATATATTAAGTAAATAAAACAGGAACAATGGACTTAGAAAGTATAGATCGTAACATTAAGGTCACAATTGACATAGAGTTAAAGAATTTGCAGAATTTAGAACGTCTTCTTCGTGGTAAAGTACTTTTTAAAAGACGACCTTGCTTTAAAAGAATAAATCGTATTGCCAATAATATTTGTATGAAATTATTATCAAGCTAGTTATTTTATAAATAGAAGGAACCAATAACTTGATGGTAGAGAAGATGGCATACTTTCCACATGTTTGTTACGATACATCAAATTTAACACGTTTTGTATTAAATAAACTTATCACATCAAGGAATAAATAAAGTAGGAATAAATGATTCTGAATAACTTAAGGGATCATCCTCATCCAAATATAATTTAATTGGAGGAAATTTCATGTGATGACACTTCTTTATCGATATTACTTGAGTTTTGTGCTGGAGGAGATTTACTAAAGGTTTTAAATTAAAAGAACAACGAAATCAACCATTAATTGGTGATGAAAAAATTATTAAACGGTATATTAAATAAATATTTAATTAGTTGTTTAACATCTTCATTCTTTGGATATACTTCACAGAGATATAAAACTATAGAATGTTTTACTAAGAATTCCTAACGATGTCAGCAGTCTCGTTTTGGCAGATTTTGGATTAGCTTGTCATAAATCTTAAATTCCTTATTATAATACAAGGTATTAACATATTGATTCTTAGATGTGGAACACCAGGTTATACAGCTCCTGAAGTATTTACTTAATCCATTTACGATGCCAAGGCTGACATATTTAGTTGTGGTGTAATGTTTTTTAATTTGTAAATCTACTTTTCTACTTTTAGATTAACATTAAAAAATCCCTTTGGATCTTCTAGAAACCCCTAAGCATTACTTTAGAAAAATATGGCTGTAGATTATGATTTGACTCATTTGGATATCATAAAAACTTAAAATCCTTATGCATATGATTTAGTTCTTTAAATGCTATAAAAAGATCCAAAATTGCGACCTTCAGCTACTCAATGTTTATAACATCCTTTCTTTAACTAAATAATAGTTGAATAAAAGGAAGATTCGACTTTTGACAATATTCAGTAAGTTTTAAATAATTCATAATAGATTCAATAATCCTATCCATCAAGCAGTAAAAATAAATTAAACGAAGCCGCATCAAATGCCATAGTTTAAATGATTACTTCTCAATATTTATCAAATGATTATTAAATATTATGTATACATTGAATAGGAATTTATTTTTTTAAAATATTATAAAAATATAAACAAATTTTAATATTTAAGAAACAACTTCTTAGATAATTTCGCTGATTAGCCCAAAGATTGAAAAATATAAAAGGGTAATTATATAGTGCAAAGTACAACTTCATGGTTATTCGACTTAGAATCAGCATCCAAATATTTTAATATTTAAATTAATTCCTGAAGGCTTTACTTTTATTATTATTAATGTAGGTTGCATTGAAATATCCATAACCATTAAAAATTGTTACATAAAAATTCTTGGTTTGATTAAAATGTTAAATTTCTTTGCTTCTTTGAGACTATCTTTTGTGAAATCATAATTAATTGATCTATAAACAATATTTAAATTAACAATTGAATATAGAAAATTAAGTATTAAGTTTGACTTAATTATAAATATCTCTTTCTATTACTTTGTTTTGCTTGAATCTTATTTAACAATTCTTTTAAATCTTATGAATATATCTTAATTATTATATTTAAAATCTAGAAATATAAATAATAAATGGCTATTTATATTCACAACACCTCGAAAAATACTTCCTTTTTTATATTATTTAATTAAATGGATTTTTTCTGATATTGATATAAGTTTAGAATTTTCTATAACCTCAGAATAATAATCAACTTTATCTAGAAAATAATATTAAATTGATTCTTAACCTAACAAATTCTTAGAGATTAATATTATTATCTGAGATTTTTTATGAAAACAATATTCTTGATAATCATTTTTTAGATTGAATTTTGAGTTTGCATTTGAGGATATTAGATTGTTTTTTAAATTTAAATATATTTTGCTCTTCTAATGCAATTTTGTAAAATTTATATTTATTTGTTATCAGAGTATTTAAACGTAAGTTTATTGATATAAATAGTAATTATCAAAAAAATATATAATAAATGTACTGCATTCAAATCTGACAACAGCAGAAATAAATATTAAAGATATTATTCTAAAAAAAATGAAAGTTTAAATCGCATTAGTTCTTTTAATAGCATTAGTCAATGCTCAGACAGGAGGATGGAAGAAAGTAAAATGAAATATAATGATAGCAAAATCCAACAGTCTTCTAAGCAACAAACTCAAACATAATAAATGAGGCTTAAGTAGCTGTCTAAAACAAATATCAAACAGAACAATAAGGTTATGAATTTGAATAGGTTGTTTCTGTTGAAACTCAAATAGTAGCTGGAACAAATTACAATATAGTTTTATAGTATGGAAATGATGAAGGATCGATCTAATAATATGATGTCATAATTTATTCAGCGTAACTATTTATATGTATTTTAGACCATGGAATGGACAAGACTAGATCACAAAATGTGAATAAATCAATGGATAATCAGCTTCATTCTCAGAAACTTAAACCATCAATAATAATAATGAAAGTGAATAAAAATTGTAATTGACCAAACCAAGTTCTTTGAGATTGAAAGTGAGAAAACAAAATGGAGCAGATAGCCATTCAACTGGAACATGGGAAAATGTAAAAAAAAATAACATAATTCTTTATTAGATTAATCCAGAAGTGTTTGAGCAAAGCAATTCCAACATAATAAATTAAGCTAACATTGTAGTTGCTCAATAATACAATCCAGAATAATAAGGATACGAATTTGATGAAGTATTGGAAGTCTAAACATAAATTGTATCTGGAACAAATTACAATATTAAATTATTGTACACTAATGGAGAAGGATCATATTAAACTTATGATGTCTACCTTTACATTTGGTATAAGTTAAATATATATACAAAGTCCTTGGAACCCATCAGCAAATTAATCAAAGGCAACCTTAACAGGAACCTATTCAATCTGAGTTATTCATCATTCATTAAAAATATAAAATTCAAAATAATTAACAAATATAATATAAATTAATTAATTAATCACTGAATATTTTTTAAACTGTATAGAAAGCTTCTTCAAATTCTTATTCTAATAAATTTGTTAACTATTCCCAATTTAAAGCGGCGAAGCCAGAATTGAAACTCTAACTATTAATTTTGATAGGCAGATTTTTAACCAATTTTAGAACTACTGATTCTTTGACAATGAAAACTCTTTTAAAAATTATACCTATCTATTAAATGCTTTGAGAATTCAAAAGATGGGTTTGATATCTTCTTGTATATTAATAAGATACAACTTAATATCCTTATTTATGGAACACACTAAAATAATTTACTAATTCTCAAAATGTGAGGGATATATCTCTAGAACTTAAACATTATGTCTTTTAAGTGCTTTGTGATAATATAAAACTTCAATTAAACATATTCAAGAAATAATTCTTAATTTTCAAAAACATTTATAGATAAAAATGCTGTGTATTTTAATTAAAGAATCAAATATGCTTGGAATGATGATTTTTTAAAAATGTGCTTTATTTACATTTTTACACTAAAGGTTTTAAATGATGCAATTGCATCGCTAAAAATTTTGATCATAATGATGGAACATATAAATAGAGTATAATTTTTGGTTGTATCAAAATCAAGAAAATCATTGATCTTGTTTATTTTCATTAACCAAGCAGTTTATATTTTTATGCATAAGTCTTTTTGTATCAATTTAATCTTCTTGATCATTATTTAACAAAAAATGTTCTGAAGCAGATTTAAATAAAAAAACTATTAATATTTGCTCTTGTATTAATGCTGTAACTAGACCTATATATTTTTGGCTGAATATTTATTGCATTAAGTCTATGATATATCTACTTCAACCATGTTCGCTTGTATCATAAACATTGGTTACTTAAAACATAGAAAACTTATTTTATAGAATATTCGATATAATTTCTATATTGTTTTTACAAACTTTATTTTTAATTTTATTGAACTATCTGCATTTCGTTTATATTTATACCATCCAAATTATTCTTAACTTATTATTATTATTCGTAAAATTGGAATTAATAAATCCAAAAATTAAAATTTCCCAATAATGTTTAAAATTCTTTATTCAAATTTCTTAATTTTTTTCATTTCCTTCAATTGTAGTTCATGAATTTCTTTTCTCTTAATCAACATCTTATTAAGCAAGATTAAAAATTTATCAAAAAATTTAATTTAAAGAATAAGTTATTGAAAGATTTTTAATAATGAGATGGCAATCTCAGAGTTTGTATCTTAGATAAAATTTTTATTGGAAAATTGTTTTATATTTACCGTACAGGATGTAAAGTTTTAAAGGGAAATACATATAATGTAAAATTATTGAAATGGATTATAAATTTAATATAGTTAAATAAATTTGAGCGCCATTTCTAATATAAAAAATCATATTTTAGAACTGAACTAAATTTAGCAATTGAATCAAAAGTTCTTTTAGTTGTGGTTTTATATATTTTTTTTAAGACTTAGCTTTACAACATTAATTTGAATATTAAACCAATTATCAATAGAATTTAAGCGTAATAATCTAAATTTTTTAATCAATATAAATAAGAGGTGGAAATAATTTTAACACACAAATATAATAATTAAATAAATTATACGCAATATCTAATGAACAGTTAGCGCTAAATTTATTTTGATTTTTTGAATCTTAACAAGAAATAATTTTAAGAAAAAAATTTACAAGAAACTTATTTTAATCAAAAATAGAATTATTGAAAAAATTTCAAAATAAATATGGTTCTATTTGAAATATGTTTTATTTTAATAATTCTATAAAGATCAAATAATTTAAGATAAACATTTTAAGCATAAATATTTTTGCTTGAATAATTTACATTTAAACTATTAAATTAAAGATTTCTTAGTAACTTAAAATAAGGCATTGTTAATACAAAATATGTCTAAAAAATTAAAATTAACTTTAATATTTCTTTAATATTTATAGTAATTTACTTTATTAACTCCTAATTGAAATCTTATTTCTAAAATTTTGAGTTCATAAAAATAAAATTATGGCTCTTTTTTCATTTGAAGCTTTAGAAGTAAATTATTTGATTTTGAAGATAACTTTTTAATAATGTCGCAATAAATGTTTATGTATTATTGAAAATATGCAGTCTATATAAAATCTTGTTCAAGTTATGGTGCTCTAAAAAAAAGATTGTGTAAAAATATTCTAATTACTGAATGTGAAACTTTGTCAAACTTGTTGGAAGAACACTTATAAAATATAATATTGAATAGATATGTTTGTGTTGCTTGCTCAGATAAAACTAGAAGATTGAAGCATTTATAACTTATTAGCAATATGATCTATCTTTTTAGCAATCATAAAATAACTAGTTTATAAATGATATTTAATTTCTATTAAATTATATTCATCTCTCCTCTGCTTTCATATTGATATGAGTTATTATTTGATCAATCTCATTTTGTTCTAGTTCTAATTTCTATACTGCTTGAACTATGACACTTGCATTGATACTATGTTAAAGGAGTTTTGATGATTAAAATTTAATTTCTGCAATTATTTCTTATCTTTTTATTTAAGTTTATGGTTCAACCTATTATTATTCATGTAGCTTTATAATGAAATGTCTCTTCCAAAACTCAACATCCATTAAACAAGGTTGCTTTAATATGTTATCATAATATAATGTTATTTAATCTTTTAATTCATTTTGCACAGGATATGTTAAATACTTTTGTAGTGTCTATTTTATTAACTTGATTGTTTGCTCAGTTAGATTTCGATGATATAACTAATAGTTCATATAATTATTTACATAAAGAATCAGGTCAACTAATAATTTATGAAGATTTTGCATATAAATATTCAGCTTTATTAATTAAGATTTAGCATCGATTGGCAATTTTGATTCTCTCAAAGAATCTAAAAATTAATCTAATTCTTCATTTGACCCTGCCAACTTTGCAAATAATTGATCATTAACTACAAAGTTTGATTAACTTAATTAGTTAAATACAGAGTCATATGAGCTCTCTCGATTTATTGTTCTTTTAATTGAGGACCATAATGACTTGATTTCTTTTTTTTAATTAATGTTTTACCTTGGGTAGCTTATTTTGATTTCAGATTCAATGATGGTTATTAATTTCGAATTTCCATCTCCGTTTATGAGATATAATCATTAACATTAAACTTATTCAACACTGGCCTTGTTTAATCTTCTATTTTGAACATGAAAATAGGTTTTGATAAATCTTAAACTTCTATTTTCTATATTTTTATACATCATTACTTAGTTCATTTTTTTAAGTGCATATTCGATATTTTTTATTGTAGAAATATGAAAAACTTATAATTTCATGTGAATATCATTAAAAACAGCTCTTCTCTATTTATCTAATTGAATGACAGTCTACTCTTATTAAGCACATCCTTCAAAGTATTCACTGATTGTCTAATTGTAATCAGTTATTGCTTATCTTAAAAAAATTGTATTTTATTGCTTTTCTTATTCTAAAGCTGTTTTAATGGAATCGGTTTTAGCAAAAGGTAAATCAATTATACTTTATTTATAACGATTAGCTCTTCTTGATAAATTGTTTACATTAGATTTAAGTTATTTATCTAAAAGTCGACAAGAATTCTCCATTTAAGAAACTCCTTCATATTACTTAGCAAGCATATCCTTTAATATAACCAAAGCATCATTTTTATAAGATTCTTTCAAATATTCTGCTTATTCCTTCTCACACAATATTACACTTCTATAAGCTTGAACCAAATCAATTATGTCATCATTTATTATGCCATTTTCTGTGAGGTCTAGTATTTTAGCTAATTGATCTAAACTTTAAGCATATGAGCCTTCCAGTAATGCTCTTTCAAAAAGCGCTGTATTAAGAACTTCCATCACCTTTATATTTTATGTTTGATAAGTTGAAAATTGTTGATATCTATTCAAAATGTCAGGTTCAAAAAGCATAATTAATTAATTTATTCAATTTAAATACAGAATTAAACTTATCACATAAAAAAATTACAAGTTAAAAAGTTCTAAACTTAATATTATATATATCAGAAAAGACTAATCGATTTATTAATCATTTTTCATTAAAATCAGAAATTCTCATCATTAGATAATTTAATTAAGTTAACTTTATATTTTTGATATAAATTTTAATTTATTTATTATGGGAATTTTATTTATAGAATGCTTTATCATATTCTAATTATTAATATGTTTAAATATGATATTGTAAACAATGTAATGATGAGATAAGGCTTAAAATATAGAATCGATTTTAATATAAGTATTAGAATAATAAAAATAAATTAATAGCATTAAATAAATTATTTTGGAAGAATGGTAGGTGTAAAAAATATATTGAAGAAATGTTTGATGCTTGTTTAGTAAATTAATAGTTTGATATTTATTAATAAATTTTATCAAATTCGTTAAAAAACACTACTCTCTTATCTTTTAATTAATTTTTTTATTTGTTTAATGAGAGGTACTCACCAATTAATAACCCAATTTGAACTCAATGGATATGCTCTACCTATGATGGATAAGAATATGTGCATTACTTTTTTGAAAGATCTACTCTAACAAAATCCAATTGATATGGACTTTATACTTGCAAATACTTCGCCATCTCCTTAACAACGAAAATTATTGACATTAAAATCAAATATTCTGTAATTGATAAAGGAGGATAAAGATCCATCGATTACAACTCCTAGATTTGATTATACTTAATTGGATAACATAATCCCAAAGAAGAATAGAAATAAAATAAATGAAATTAAAACAAAAGTTGAAACCCTTCTTAATAGTAACAATATAGATCCTCCTTTGACAATTAAGAAGAGGTATAATTGAAATTAATCAGGTAGATGGTGGACAGAAGAAGAAGACTAATAACTGAAAGAATTAGTGACATAACATGGTGCCAAAAATTGGAAAAAAATAGCATCTTATTTTGAAGAAAGAACAGATGTCTAATGTTTACATAGATGGCAGAAAGTTCTAAATCCTGATCTTGTCAAAGGTCCTTGGACATAAGAAGAAGATGAACTATTAGTAAAATTAGTAACTAATTATGGGCCTAAGAATTGGAGTCAAATTGCTAAACATTTACCAGGAAGGATTGGTAAATAATGCAGGGAGAGGTATTAAGTTTAAAATCAATTTAGGTTCCATAACCATTTAGATCCAAAGATCAATAAAGAAAGATGGACCGATGAAGAAGATTAAACTATAATTGAGGCTCATAAAAAACTAGGAAATCGTTGGTCATTAATAGCTGGCTTATTAAAGGGAAGAACAGACAATTCAATTAAAAATCATTGGAATAGCACTTTAAAAAGAAGATTGAAAATGTAAAATAGATGGGAAGATCTCTAAGTCTTACCAAGATAAGATGAAACCCATATTAAAGGTATTCCAAGAAGACAAGTATAGAGGAGAGTTATGTATTATAAAACACCTGAAAAATTGGTTAAAAGAGATCCTGTATCAAGATAACTCAATTTTTTAACCCCATACTCAAATAATACTCCAAGTAGAATATATTATTTGATAAATTAGAATCTGAAGCTACACCTAAGAATCTTAGCATTGTATATCCAAATTTATCATTAAAAGATTCAGAAATAATGTAAAATTATTAATATTTTAGAGATTCATGCTCAATTTTATTCAAACAATTAAGTGAATTAACTAATATGGATCTTGAATTCATTAAATAATATAGTTACAAATGAGATATCTTTATCTAATTTGAATCATATCATGCTATTTATTTCTTTTATAATTTATTGTTATTTAATCATTTTTAAATTTAATATTTCATTCTTGAAAAAAAAATGCAAATCACAATCAAATAAGTATTAAGGATTTTACTAAACACATTTAATATAATTTTATTCAACTGTTTCAAACTTGTATTTTTATTAAATAAATTAGAAAACTTGAAATCCTCATTGGTAAGTATATATTTTAAAAATTAATGTGTATAACAGCTTGATTCAAAAAGTAAGTTAACTAAATTTTAATTTTTCTAAAACATAAGTTTCTCAACGACACAGTCCAAAATTTATCTCATTAAAAACTTTTAAATGTCTAAATAAAGATAAATTTATATAGATTTGGCCGATAATAGTAATATTCAAAATTTAGAAGGTTAAATTTATTAAATTATCCCATGTAAATGGCTTAATAAACAAAAAACTTTGAAATAGTGAAGATAAATCATTTATTTACTGTATTAAATATGAATCTTTATAATAAGATACGTTATATTTATCAATTTCTATAGGACGTATTCCAGAAAGATCAAATAGAATACATTACAATTTTTTATACATATAGATAAATCATGGGAAAGCAAAAACTCAATGATATATAAAAGCATTTTATCTAATATTCAAAATAAAATAGTAATTAGTTGTTGAACCACAACTATTTTTTGAAATTCTCCCCTTCCCCTAATCGCACCCAAAATCTAGTATCAAAATTTAATAAGTTTAAAGTATTCTGGTCTTATAAAAAACAAAATAAATTTGATTTTAGAGTTACTTATCCTGAATTTTTCAAAGAAAAATACTGATAACAATATAAAATACAATTTTAATACAAAATTATATTTATTTAACTAAAAAAATCATTCTATAGTCTTAATGAAATAAGATATACATATTTATTAATTCATAATATAACTCATACAATAAGTTAAATACCAAAACTTAGAAAATATTTAAAACTCTCAACCATCTTAATATAATGAAGATTTGTAATAACAATTTAATAACAAATTAAAACTAAAAATTATGCCCATCCCAATTTTAATTGTTCCTTAAGAAAATATGTAAGGGCAAAATTAATATCAGTAATACCCATTATATTAGTAATATTAAGTTGCTCCTTATTATCAAAACTAAAATTAATATATTATACCAACACATAATTCATAGAGTTCAAATTTACTCAAGGACTAAAAATTTTCATAATAAAAATTATTTCTATGTGGAATTTTAGGAATCTGCATATTATGGTCTATCCTATCTTGTTATTTACTAAGCATAATTTCAATATTGTTTTAGGAAAATCTAAATGGAAGCTAAAGCCCAATTCATTTCATTTTATCAATGTTATTTTCTTTTTCTGCACTTCTTTNGTAATATTCAAAATTTAGAAGGTTAAATTTATTAAATTATCCCATGTAAATGGCTTAATAAACAAAAAACTTTGAAATAGTGAAGATAAATCATTTATTTACTGTATTAAATATGAATCTTTATAATAAGATACGTTATATTTATCAATTTCTATAGGACGTATTCCAGAAAGATCAAATAGAATACATTACAATTTTTTATACATATAGATAAATCATGGGAAAGCAAAAACTCAATGATATATAAAAGCATTTTATCTAATATTCAAAATAAAATAGTAATTAGTTGTTGAACCACAACTATTTTTTGAAATTCTCCCCTTCCCCTAATCGCACCCAAAATCTAGTATCAAAATTTAATAAGTTTAAAGTATTCTGGTCTTATAAAAAACAAAATAAATTTGATTTTAGAGTTACTTATCCTGAATTTTTCAAAGAAAAATACTGATAACAATATAAAATACAATTTTAATACAAAATTATATTTATTTAACTAAAAAAATCATTCTATAGTCTTAATGAAATAAGATATACATATTTATTAATTCATAATATAACTCATACAATAAGTTAAATACCAAAACTTAGAAAATATTTAAAACTCTCAACCATCTTAATATAATGAAGATTTGTAATAACAATTTAATAACAAATTAAAACTAAAAATTATGCCCATCCCAATTTTAATTGTTCCTTAAGAAAATATGTAAGGGCAAAATTAATATCAGTAATACCCATTATATTAGTAATATTAAGTTGCTCCTTATTATCAAAACTAAAATTAATATATTATACCAACACATAATTCATAGAGTTCAAATTTACTCAAGGACTAAAAATTTTCATAATAAAAATTATTTCTATGTGGAATTTTAGGAATCTGCATATTATGGTCTATCCTATCTTGTTATTTACTAAGCATAATTTCAATATTGTTTTAGGAAAATCTAAATGGAAGCTAAAGCCCAATTCATTTCATTTTATCAATGTTATTTTCTTTTTCTGCACTTCTTTTAGCAAGACTTGGAATTGTAAAGTGTTATAGAAAGTAATTGTAATTTCTTATTTAGACTAGAATTAGTATTTTAATGTTTCTTGGGGTTTTGAAGTTATACCTGCTTTTATTCAACCTTTTTAGCCACTATGGATTCATTTTATATATAATAATCTGTATGTATGTAAGATATTTTTATTTTGAGGGGAGTTTGTCTTTGATATATTATTATCTGCATCAATTATTGGAAATTTCATTTTTAATTTCATCTTTTTAGTTTACTTAATATTTGCTGATAAGAAACTCAAAATGATTTGTAAGCTCTTTATTTATATATTATTAGATCCAATATTATTTGAGCTTTTTGGGATCTTGACTTTTTAAATTTATATGATATTGAGATCTTGTTTTGCATGTTTATTATGATACCATATGCGTTTATTTTGATGAATGCCTTTAATTAGATTCTTAAATGAAGAGTAATATTTTCTGTTTTTAGTTTTATTTGGAAAAGAATCAAGTATTGACTGGGGTAATGGCTTCATTTTATTGTTAGATTATTTGTTGTGCGGATTGATATATATAATAAAATATTAATTGCTACCATTATTATTAACTTCTAATTTTAAGTTGATAATATCAGATCTCTATTTCACAATAAAAAATATATAAATTATACTATTAAAGATAATAAAAAGTGATGAATGAACCAAATATGTTAATTTTGTAGAAACTAAATCAATGCTTTCAAATATTAAATAATATTGATTCAAAGCCCCAAAAAAATGATTATACCAAAACTTAACTTATTTTTAGTTAATTATTAATAAATTAGCAATTTTGCTCAATAATTAAACAAATTCAGGTTTTCTAATAATCTCTATAATTTTCATAAATTCTAAATGATCTATTATCTCTTCTTTTGTATTGAAATGAATAATTTTTTTCTCTAGAAAATTTAAATCTGATAATTCATAATTTACATTGGTTCAATATAATTAAATAATAAATTCATTAATTATTCTTGAGTCTCTTCTTTTTTTATTTTTAATTAAATAAATAATAATATTTAAAATGCAGATTTTTGATAGTTAAATTTTCATCGAATTTTCTATAATAAATTTGGATGTTAGCAACCATATGAAATCTTTAACAATATAATACAAAAATGTTGTTGAAAAGTAGCTGACAAAGTAAAAATTTTTAGTTTATTTTTTTCTTAAAAAGTTCAAATTTTGTAGATTCGAATTAGGGTATTCAATTTTAAAAGTAAAATAACAAATGATTACATAAAAAGTAATTTAGTTTGATCCTTTGTATGTTTTAGATTCAAACAAAAGTAGTTTATTATAAAATCTAATTCAAGGTATATTTGATGATGTATTCAGATTAAAAAGTTTAAGAGAGATTTCAGAGTCAATTTTAAGCTAGGTAATTATGTAATATATATAAAAATTAAGATTGAATTAGAACTGAAAATAAAATATCATAAATTTACCAACTTAAAAAAAATAATAAAAATTCTCAAATAAAATGAAAATTTTTACTTTAATCCACACATTTTTTGGATATTTATAATGAAGAAATAAAAAATGAAAAGTTTATAGATTTAAATAAACAAGAAAATTAGATTAAAAAACTAATTTTCAATCTTTTGTTTGAAGCTTTCCAATTAGTTATAAGCTATGTTATAATTCTCTTTATATTTAGAGAAGATTAACCTAAAAATCCTGTTATAAATATAGAATAGGTTTTAGATTTGGTTCAAAAATATTTTGATGGTCAATCAATTATGTTTAGGCTAATACCTATTTTTGAAGTTGCTTTTGAAATTGTAAAAACTGCTTCTGATTATACAAATGATAATCATCAATCATCAATTTTTATTTTTATCCAAAATAATTTAAAGTTATAATATATAAAGTAATTATAAAATTTGATCTACAAATCTTTAGCCTAAACAATTTATTTTTAGTAGTTCTTTAAAAAAATTAACTGATAAAATATATAAAAATATAAATTTATGAGTCTATAATGTAAATTTAAAGATTAAAAAATAAAAATACTTGTAACAATTATTTTGATTTATGGAAAATCAAAAAATAACTTCAATTCATAGAAAAATATTTGATTTACATCTAAAAGTCTAATTTACATTTTTGAATTTTAATTAAAGGAAAGAATTTTAAAGAGAATAAAATAATTAACCCTTTTGTAAAACATTTAAGTAATATCTTTGAATTACAAAAACATAAATTATTTTAATTATTTTAAACTTCAGTTTATTTGCATTAACATATATTATTTTTCCTATTAATCTATTTCAATAAGCAATAAACGCAATTAAATATATGTTTTAAAATATCATCTAAGACTCTATTTGGTAAGAGAAGGAGCTTTCTGAATCTGATTTGCACTCTCCAAACACAATGGATTTAGAACCATTTTCTGATTTTGAATCCCAATTTCATTGTACTAATTTTGCCTTTATTTTTACTACATAGTGTCCCATTTTACCGAAGGACCTTTACTACAATGTTGGAGTGATGTGTCCCCTGTTCTGCAGAAAATTAAAGAGGAAGACACATATTCTAATCAGTAGAATTAGGATATATATAAAAGAAAGTAGAAATTTTGGAATGATGAAGAAGATTAAAGATTAAAATATCTTTATAATTACTATGAGGGAAAATGGAACGAGATTGTGAAAAAAATGCCTTAACGAAATGCATCATAATGTCAATAAAGGTGGAGAAGAATCAATCCTCCAAAAAAGGTATAGTTTATGATTTATTAATGAATAGGCAAAGTAGAATTGGACTTTACAACAAGATGATCAATTGAAATAATTAGTTCATCAATTTGGAAAATAATGGATGAAAATAGCTAAATGTAATAATTATTTATTCAATTTTTTAGTACTTGGTAATATAACAGGAAAATAAGCTCGTGATCGTTATATAAATAAACTAGATCAATCAATTAATAAATAGCCATGGACTCATGAAGAGGATATGTTAGTGTTAGATTATTTTGTTAATAATGGACCTAAATGGACGAAAATCTCTAATTTACTTATTGGGAGACCTGTATAAAACTTTTATATTTTTTATTCTAGGAAAATAACATCAAGAATCGATTCTATAGTTTCATTAAGAGAAACTATCTTGGGGAATAAAATAGATACCAAATTATTTACTTTTGAGTTGCTTCTCATTTTCTCATCCTATAAAAAGGAGAGGCAAATTTATTTATTGAGTTATAAAAGCATAGCGTTATAAAGTATAAATATTCAATCCTGTTTCTATTCAAAGCTAATACTTGTTAACCTTCAAATTGATCTAATTAAAATAATTCAGTTTTTTCAAGATAATAATTCTAATAAAAATTAAAATATTATCTGATATTTAACAACTATATATTTATCATCAAAATTGATTAAATATTTCTTTATTTTTTCATTTTATTATTCAAATATTAATATTACATTCGATGTGGTTTAAATTAGTTTTACAATATATTTTCATTTGATTTAAAGATTAATACTAAGAAAAGAGATGGATTTTTAAATTTGATTTTTATCAATAGTTATTACTATTTTTGATGATTCTTAAGTTTTTTGGAAGATAAAGGCACCAAATGATAGATAAAGCTATAAATGCAAAAAATGATATTTATATATAAATTATTATATATATTCTTTAGAAAAATATCTTTTTTATTAATTATTATATAATTAATATTATAATTTTTAATCACTTGTATACCTAAAATACATTATTAAATAGTGTAAATGAATAAAGATTTTAATAATTATTATAAAAAATAGAATGGGTCCTATAAGATAGTTACAATCTTTTGTATGTGCTTAGACATTTTGGCCATAGTTCATGATTAGATGGTTCTAGGCTGAAAAAGGACCATTTACAATCTTTTTTTATTGTCCTTTTGCTAAATGGGGAATATCAATAGCCAATATAAATGATATGATCAAAAAGCCTGTTGACACAATCAACCCAGTTTAGTAATCAGTTATAACATTAACTGGAACCCTAATAGCTAGGTATCTGATATAATTAATTAATTAGATGGTGTTGGGTATTATCACCAAGATAATATATGTTAGTGGTATGTAATTCAGTGATGGCATGTACAGGAATAATTCAATTATGGAGAAAACAGTATATATTTCAATCATGTAATTAGTTAAGCTGGTCTCTTATTTTGAAATATTATATGTATATTTCGAATATATATAAATAATGGATAGAATAATCTTTATATATATAAAGTGTTTAAGTCATTTATACATTTTTGGATCAATTCCATAAATTAGAACATGCCAATCCAACCACTTAATAATAAATTCAAATATTTTTTTACTTTGAATTGAAAGACTAAGTCCATATTATTGGTGTAAAAAGGATTAGCATTTTCTCTTCTTTCATCCCACATAAAAACAAACCAATAACAACCGAATCTCTCCCTTAGTCTTCTGGAAATAAATGATGCTTAATCTTTCATTGATGATTGATAGAGAGACTCAAAAAAGATGGCTCTTATTTCTTCAATAAGAAATACATTGACTCTGGTTCCTTACTTAATAATCTTGGGTATAATATTAGATGTAAGTACTTCTAATGGGTCTTGATATTACATATTAGTAGTTAATTTATTTAAAATAACCATCAATAAAGAAAATAGAGTAGATAGTGATTATTAAAATTCTTAAGAGACATGCATTTTATTTATATAAGTGAATTGTTGATAACTATACTTGTACTTAGATATAAAATGAATAATCATTCCTATATACCACTTCTTTTAATTTAAGATTATGATGATCCAGTAGGTCCAGTAACAGTCAGAGTATTCCCAGCCCTTGATGTTACAGTTCTTTATGTAACAACAACTTCCTAAATATAGAATTTTCACATACTCTTTTTGATCCACTTTTCTTAAGTGATTCTAATTCTGCTTAACACATAGTTAATTCTTCTTGACACTTATTGTATTCATGGTTCGCTTTAATGAACTTCTATTTCCAAACTTCAACTTCCTAAGAAAGATAAGTGACCTTCTCTTATATAACCGTAGTTCCTTATGATTCTAGTTCAGTATATCTAATTCTCCATTCATCTAATTCTGCATCTTTGTTTTTTATTTGAATTTGTAATCTTTCAATATCAGTTGATATCAAAGCTAATCTATTCTACAAATTAATGAGAAGAAGATTACTTCATACTCTCTTAATTACATAATAAGTTCATTATTTTTTGTGTATGATTCCTACTCAATAAGACTATATTTGTTTTTCCAATTCAAAATATCTTAATTAGCTTATTGTAGTAATCTTTCAAGTCTAGAGTTTTCATCTTTAGACAGTCTCAATTGATTCTCTAAATCTCTTAATTAACTTGTGTCTTATGCACTTGTTTATAATTTAGACAATTATAATCTCAGCTATTAAATTTCTGAATCTTTATTTTAAAGTAATTGTTTAAGTCTATCATTTTCTGATTGTGATTAACTTAATTGAATTTCTAGATCAGAAATTGATCTTCTCAATTCTGCAATCTAATCTTCCAATTAAGTTCTCATGGCAAAAAATTCTGCTTATAATGAAGCTGAATCAGCAGCATTAGCACTATGTAATGTTATATCTCCTCTTAAAGATTCCAATTAGGATTCATAATTATTTCGCATTTACATCATTTAATTTTTTACTTGATCATTTTCTCTACGCAATTGAAGTAATTGAGCTTCCAATTATTCTATCCTAGTATTATCTGTCACTACTTTTACTACTTCTTTTTCTACTACTTTTGCTTCCTTTCTTCTTTCTAAATCAGCAATTATTGATTATAAATATTCACATTCCAATCTCCATGGAGTTTCTATTTCTTCTTTTGAAACTACTACTATGTTCATACAAAGTGGAGGAGCCTGTTGACAATTTTATTAAACACTGTATGTACCTGGATAAGAAACTTAAGGTATTGAAATATTCTATCTCAAAACCTATTGGCTTTATATCCTGGGTGGAGGTAATTATTATGTCTAAATAATTGGAACATCCTCTTAAGTTCTTATTTATTATTATTAAAATTCAATCACTGGTTGCTTATTTAGTATTTATTATAAATACTTATTAGAAGAACTGTCTGGTTTAAGAATTTACAAATCTCATTCCTTCCTGTCTCTCATTTAATAACTTTAATTTGCCATCATCACTAACAAATATTTCTTAACTCATTTATCTTAAATCAAAATAGATATTTATTTTATTAACTAATAATAAATAAATAGTTTAATGTAATTATCAGTATAAATACAATAGGAAGTAGTATTATTTTATCAGATCACAGAAGTATAGCAAATTTTAAGTAGAAATTCCTTCAAAAGTTTCTTATTCTTTTTGCTACTATTTAAATTGACTATATTCACTTTTAATAAAGATTTTAAAAAATTAACTTCAAAAATAAAATAATATGTTTATTGAGTAATATCAAGAAACTATAAATTAATAGTTGAAGCTAAGTAAAGTTGTACCAATTACAATAAATCCGAAGAATATTTTGAGATCTCTTCTTGTTGCAGATGACAAATTAGATGATGAGCATCTCTATTAAAATTATTGTAGAAAATAAGAATTAATTATCAACAATATGAATGAGGATAATGCATATGTAATTTTGAACATATGTACATTAATAAAATTGTCTTTTGACAAAAACAAAGAAGCTACTAAAGAAGAGCTAAAAGAAATTGTTTTAAATCAAATAAAAGTAGATTGTGTAAATTGGCCATAATTTAAATAACCTAGATGGCCTGAATATTTAGAATATTTCAATAATTTAAGTTAAAGTCTAATAAATCATACATATAAGTTGATTGAAAGTATTGTTATAGATTTAACAACAAAGCCATTTGAGTGTTCAGAATTTCATTAATATATGACTGACAAATTAGAATAAACAATGTCTTTTTTTTCATTAGAAATGAGTGATTTTGTAAGGGTGCCTAATAGTGATAGCTTATATTGGGACTTAAAGAAATATTTCAATTCAACAATATAAAATATTCATTTATACATAAATAGAACATCTTTATTTTGTAATACTTAGATGGAATTTTTAAATGAAACACTCACGAAATATCATACATTGGCTAATATTAGAACATATTAAATATTATAAACTGAAACATCATAATATATAATATCATAATGTCATGTATCACTTAAAGAAATGACATTTAATAGAATTGAATTTTTGATATTTGAGAAAGATTTAGTAAAATCTGTAATAAGACATTTTTATGAGTATAGTAAATTGAATTTAGGAGTATATTAAATGTCTACATTAACATAAACATTTTAAGATGCAATACATATGCGTTAACTTTTGGATGAAGATTGTAATGTTTAAGTAAATTTGGATTCAAAATTATTTGATTAAGATGGTGATTGTTTAAAATATAAGACTTGGTTAAATTAGAAGAAGGCAATATAATCATAGCAAATGTTGACAGGAGCATCAGTGGTAGGAGGATCAATAGGTGCAGGTTTAGGTTGTTTAATAGTAGATAGTGTTGATCCAAAGATTCCTTGGGAAGAAAAACTAAAAAGAGCAGGAGTTAGTTCAGTAGCAACAGGTTTAGTAGGAGCAGCTATGCGTATACCTGTTATTGGAACTATGTTATCTTAGGCTTTACTTTTTTATGCAATTAAATTAACAGCAAATAATAAAGTGTTAGATAAAAACGAGAAAATGAAGAATTTAGCACATATTGGAGTTTAAAGTTCAGTTGGTATAGGTTCAGCTGTAGCTGGATAAATATTAATTCCTATTCCTGTTTTAGGTGCTATTATTGGAGGAACTGTTGGAGGTGTTGCTATGAGCTTATATAGTAAGTTTTTTGTTCCTAAAACTAAACATTCTATTAAAATTATGATCAATGATTTAATTGATAGATAACTTGATGATGGATTATTTGTTTATGATGAATAAGTCTTTAAAATCATGAGAATCAATCAAAAACATTATTTTTGTTGCAAACCTGACAAATATACTGATTCTTAATGGCTTACTATTTTAATGGTCTATTTAGTCAATGAAATTCATTATCTAACCAATATACAAGGATTGGAAAAAATTAGAGAATTATAAGAGTAAATGGAAAAAAAACCTAAAGATGAAGTTAAATGTGTTAAATAAATTAGAGAAATTGAAGATGAATTAGAATAACTAGAAATAATCAGTCTTAAATTAGAAAAGTCGAGAAATTATATTTAAGTATAAGAAATTAATACTTTACAAATTGCTACTTAGATAGGAGAGTTTATCAATGGCATGATTGCTAATTTTAAATTATGAAATTCTAATTATTATATCATATATTTAGAATTATTAATAAATTTAATCCCATTAAAAATAAAGTGTATAATTATAGGAATTAAGATTGAAATTTATAAGTTAGATTCCTACCACATTCATTAGCGAAAGTGAAATAACTATTCTTTTATGATTTAACTTTACGTTTACTATCTGAAGCAAAGAGAGTTCTTAATTTATTATGTGAAATGGTAATTTTCATAATATTAGAGTTTTAAAGATTTAAGAAATTTCAATTTGGAGATGTTGTCTTTGGTATTCACTCTTAAATTTATGAAACTCATTTTAATTTAGGTTTTTATATTGTTAATCTAAAAAAACCTAATATATATCAAATTTTATACATTATTTAAGCTTTATGGCGAACAGATTATTTTGTATAAGTAATTTAAGAATGTTTAATTATTAAAAATAAAACATAATTAAATAAATAAAAAGACAATACCATTATCAATTGTATTCTAATTACCCATAATCAATTAAATTATTTGAATTCATCAATCAATTATAATTATAATTCTCTCAATTCATTTACTCTTTGTTGATTGTCTTAGATCTCTGTTTTTAGTCTATAATTCTCTTCTATAATTGCATTATAATCGGATAACAAACTCTCTTGTTCTAATTACAATTATTGTAGTTAGCCTTAGAGTTCTACATGTGAATGCTATTCTATTTTATGTTGCATATGTGTTATTTTATCCGTATAATAATCAATCTCATCTATGTATTCATCAACTATTTGGCTTGGTTAAATGATTGTCTATTAATTTGTTTATTTTTATTCTTTTGTTGTATTATTATTGTTCACATTCTAATTTGAATTTTAACCCTTATTTTATACAGTGCTAATATTAACTGATTTCTTTTATTAACTTGCTGTTTGTTTACTTTTCTTTTCATTACAGTATTTGTTATATAATGTATTGAATGTATCATCAGAATATTTTGAAGAATGGTTATTTGTGATTTCTAAATAAACCATTTTTAATTGTTCATATTTTCTAATAATTTATTCCATATTTGATATATTCATATTTGTTATCTAATAAATTTGGATATACTTTTTACAGCTAATCTTTCTAAATAAAATAATTCAATTTCTTTTGCATGTTATTTTTAATATTTTTATAAATCTTATGTCCAATAATCAATTTATCTTAACAATTCGAATTTAGCTTCGTTAATCATATAAATTTTATAATAAAAATTAAATATTATTTGTTATTATATATATATACATAGATTCAAATGAATAGAAGATAAAAAACTGAGAATGAGAATTTAAAAATTAAAAGAGCTCTAATGAGAAAACAGATAAATTAATATCATAGAATTGATACAGAATTTGAAATTGATGATAGATTAGGTTAAAATTCTTTATGTGTAAAAAATGAAGAATTTGATGTGGAAGATTCTATTTAATATGATTAATAAATTTGGGAACGATTAGATAAATAGGTTTAAAGTTCTCCAAATTAAAGAAATAGTTGTTCTTGGGTTATATTTTAAGATTGTTTATATATATTTGGTGGATTTACTTTTAATGGAAGATTGGATGATGTTCATAGATATTCATTTAATTAAAATTAACGGTAAAGATTAAATACAACAGGCTCTAAACCAAGTGCAAGAGAAAACAATGGAGCTATTGAATATAAAGGTCAAATGTATATTTTTGGTGGATGTGATGGATCATTATGGTTAAATGATTTTTATTCATTAAATCTAAATACTTTAAATTGGAATAAAATTGAACCTACTGGTTAATGTCCATCTGAAAGGTTTGGAATAGCATGTGGATCATATTAAATTAAAATGCTTATATTTGGTGGTTGTGATGGTAATCATTATTTAAATGATGCTTATGTTTTTGATTTTGAAGAAAAAGTTTGGAATAAATTATAATTAATTGGAGATATTCCTTCTACTAGATCTTGTCCTTCATTCAGTGTATTAAATAATTAAATATATATTTTTGGTGGATTTGATGGTGTTAATAGATTAAATGATTTCTATAAAATCAATATATTTACAGGTAAAGTTAAAAGAATTAGTTAACATGGTACAATACCATGTCCTAGATATGTAATTTATTTTACTTAAAATTTTAGTTTCATGCTTCTGAAATTTATTAAAATAAATTATTATTATTTGGTGGATTTAATGGTTTAGAAAGATAAAATGATTTATATGAATTTGATTTTGGAATTAAAACTTGGAAAAAATTAGAAGTAAATGAATCACCAAAAGGAAGATCATCTATGGTATTTTAAATTTACAATGATTCTCTTTATATTTTTGGAGGAATGATGGAGATGAACTTCTAAATGATATTTATAAATTAGTATTCAAAAATTCATAGATTCCTAGATCTAGTTTTTTGTAAGATTTTCATACTTTAATTAACAATCCATTAATGAGTGATGTTATTTTTTAAGTTGAAGATCATTAAATTTATGCTAATAAATGCATTCTAGGAGCTAGAAGTTAAAATTTTTAAACTTTATTTTTTTAAGAATTTAGAGATAAAGAATAAATGTATTTAGAAATCAATGAATGTGTGACTATTAAACATTTATGGATATGCTCTTATATATCTATACTGATCAGTTAGATTTCTCTTTTAATAAATTATTACTAACCTAAATTATGAAATATTTGGTTGATAATATTTCTACTATTAAAAAAAGAAAAGATTTTAATAAATTGGCCTCAGAACCAGACATACCTTTAGAAATAATACAAAAGAAATGTTGATTAAAACTATTTTACTTTATCATATGTAATCTATAACTTTTATTTTATATCAGTATAATTATTTTTTAAATAAATATTATTAAATTCATTTATTGAATAATGAAAATAATTCTTTTTCAGCTTTTTCAAATTCTACTTTTAAATTTTCCATAAAGACTGATGTTATTTTATTGAATTACATATATGCTTTATTTAATTTTTCTCTTTGTTACTCTGATTCATATTTAATATTGATTTCCACTTAATTTATTACTTTTTATCTTGCCATTTCTTTTTCAGTTTTGCAAGCAATTTTATTCAGATTCTTTTTATCTTTTTTTTATTTTTCCTACTCAATTTTTAAATGATTCTATGCAGTACTCTATTCAGAATAGATCTGTTTAATTTATTCCATAATTCTTTAATATTAAACATTGTAAATGTTTGTATTTGCTTTAAGTTCAGAATTTTCTAATTTTTTCTAGGTGCCATCAAAATTTTTGGCTCTCTCTCCCAATTTTTTACTATTTTATTAATCATCATATTAACTATATGATTTTTCAAGCCTTTCTTGTTTTATTTTCTTCATTATAATTAATTCGTTATTTATCGCGAAAAAAATTCCTTGATTTGAACAAAAAAATCCACCTAATAATTTTTTATAAATTTATTTAGAATTTTAAAAAATAAGTTAGTTATATTTAAAAAAAAATACATTAACTAAATATAGTCAGATCAGAATAAATCCGATTTATTAAATCATTGTGAATTTGTTTTTATTTGAATAGAAATTATATACATATCTAAAATATATCATCTGATGAAATAATAAATATTATTCATTAATTTAAAATGAATAAAAAAAATTTATTAAGTAAAAAAAATCATTTTGAGTTTCAAATTTCATTTGAGAATCTTAAGAATCAGTTGAATTCTTAGTTGAAGTAGATAATTCTGCATAAGTTAAGTTAAGATTAAATTCGATCAAAAAAACAAAAATTTCCTCTCAAAATATATAGCCACATAATGAGCATTTATTATAATCTAAAAAAGCCAAACAATACTTTCTTTTTTAATAATAAATACAGCAGGTAACCAAAAAAAATATTAAATACACAAGTAGATTCTTGGCATTTGTCTAAAAAACTACCTTTATATCTATTTTAAGTGCATTCAGTACTGCAATCTTTTGATAAATATCCCAACACATAAATACCCTTTTATATATCTATATTATAAACAAGAGTAATCTGACGATGCTAATAATGATTTTGAAACAGATACTATCTGAGCCAAAATATTGTAGCAATCCCTACGATGATGATTAAGATGCAATATTATGAGGAATTCTTCAATCATAAATTAGAACAAATATGGAAAAATATTTGCATGGTTCTGAATTATTATTTTATAAATTTGGAAACACCTGATTTATAAAAAGAACAATAAGTTTCTTTTTCGAAAGTAGATATTTTTACCCTTTATCTCTGAAATTAATTCAAATTTAAAATTTTCATTTAAAAGATTACTTGTCATATCAAGAATCTGTGATTATTTATTATAGTAAAGATTTATTTCAAAATGAGATCCACCATTATCTCCCATTTATAATCCTATTATTGTTTAGCAATTAAAATTATATTTCAAAAAATTAGTTATTCTTGGTATTGAATAATGATTGATTTTTAAAGCATACTAATATTGGTAATGTTATTTTAAATGAAGCAATTTTTATTAAAATTTAAAATTAATTTTATTTTCAAAAATCTGATTTAATAAATTAATTATTATTTAAATGCGATTCAAACTTCATTTGGATGTTTGTATTTACTTTTAAAATTTTAGAATTTAAACTTCCATTAGCTTTTTATATTTAATTCAGATAGAATATTTTGAATTATTCTTATTTTTTTAATTTAGGAATAAATTATAAACTTCTTTAATATAAATTTACATATTTAAGTATGAACATGAAGTTTATCTAAATATTTTATTTTTAGAATTAAAAATAAAAATTTATTATTTTAAAGGTTAAATTCAAATTTTTTTCTTGCAAGATTATTAATTTTTAATTATTTTGATATATAATAGATGTAAAACTCTTAAAGATCTTAAGAAGTCTTAAATCCAAAATAAAATAAATGAAAACTGTTATGCATTAAAAATTGAATTTTTAGTTATAATTTTTAATATAATATAAAGTTAAAATACACATAAATTCAAAATATTGTTTTAATAATTAATTTAAAAATTAGATGAGGAATTATCACTCATTTAGTAAATAAGAAATAAAGAATTAAAATATAAATTAATATAATATAGTTTGGGATTAAGTTCTATTATAAAGAATAATAAAAATTTTATGATAAAAAATTCTGACTTAGAAGGAGATTTAATGATTGTTAACATCATGCCATTGAGAATTGTAAGAAGTAGAAAAATAATTGGAAGTATACTGTCTTTATTAACTCTTTTTATATTCTCTTTAATGTACTATTTTAAAACTTAAAATTTTAAGATGTCGTTGGTTTATAAATTTAAAGTTACTTTTTTATTATAAGGAAGAGAAGGAAATATTGTATGCCACCCATTTATTCATAATAAATTTACATGGAGAGAAAGAAATACAAAAAGTTAAAAGGAATAAAATTTCGAATTGCATTTATTTTAAATATAGACATATAGAATATTATTTTGAAGAAAACAAATTTCATCCATTAGATACAGGATATGTTGATAAAGATTTCTTATTAAAAAATGTGAATCCTTTAAGTGAAAGACAAGTATTTGAGTTGAATAAGACATTTGGAAACTGTGAAGTTATAGTTCCCATTCCTAGTATAACTTCTTTTTTTTAAAATGAACTTACATCCCCTCTTTATTTCACTTAATATACTTCATTAACAGTATTTATGTTGGAAGGATTTTATTAATTAGCAATTTTATAACCTATTATAGCATTATTGACATCATTAATAAATTATCTTATACTAAGAAGGGCTATGTAGTAATTAAAGAAAAAAGCAGAAAACCATCAGTAAATTACAGTATTTCGATAAAATATATCTGGTAAAGAGGAATGTATAACAGTGAATTCGATTGAATTAGTTCCAGGAGATATAGTTTAAATTTTTTGTAATTAAATATTACCATGTGATTGTTTAATATTGACAGGTGATGTATTGGTTGATGAATAATCATTAACAGGAGAGTCTATTCCTGTTTAAAAAGAGTAAATAAAATAAGATTTTTTGAGTAATTTTAATTATTAAACTTACAAAAAATCAATATTGTTTGATGGAACTAAAGTCTTAGATGTAAAAAACACTGTAAAAGTATTAGTTTTAAGAACTGGATATTTATCTTATAAAGGATAGATATTTAGAAATGCATTATACCCAAAACCACCAAAAATAATGTTTTTTATAGACGCAGTAAAATTTCTTGTTATAATTGCTGTTTTGATTATAGGATTGTATTTTGGATTACTTTGGAAAATGATATTATTAGATTATGATCCAACCTTAATTGCATTAAGATTAGGTGATGCAATAGTTTGGATTCTCCCTCCAAATTTAGTAACTGTTGTAAATCTTACAATGACAGCTACTTTAAGTAGATTAAAATTAAACAATATCTTAGGAACTTAACCAGATAAAACATTAGAAGCATCATAAACAGAAATCATTTGTTTTGATAAAACAGGTACTTTAACAACAAATAAGATTAAAGTAAAATATGTATTTGATGAAAAGAATAATAAAATCTAATCAATTTCAGATAAAAAATTGTTGTAATCTTTAATGTCTTGCTGTCATTAATGCTACTTATTAGATAATTAATTAATAGGTGATACATTAGATATAGCCATGATATATTATTCAAATCTAAATATTCATTAAGATAATGATTATAAATTTAAAGTCATAATTAATGGAAATGGTTCAGATTAGAGAAGTAAAGAGATAACTTTTAGAATTATAAAAATCTTTGAGTTTTCTAGTGATCTCTAAAGAATGGGTGTAATAGCAATGAGTGATTAAATTATAAGAGAGGATTAATAGATTTAATTAACAGATTAAGAAGATATAATAATTTAAAACTAATATTATTATTTTAGTAAAGGATCAGCTGAAAAGATTTCCTCATTATGTATTTCTGTACCTGAAGGATTTAAAGATATGATAACTTAAGAATCACTTAAAGGTATGAGAATAATTAGTACTGGATATAAAAGAATAGAGTTATAGGATATTGTTAAATCATAAATTGAATTGGAATAACGTCTAAAATATTTGGGATCAATTATTTTTGAAAATGAATTAAAATTAAATACAAAATAAACTATTGATGAATTAAAAAAAGCATAGTTAAAATTAAAAATATTAAGTGGAGATCATATTTTGAGTTGCATAAATTGTGGTATCGAAAGTGGTATAATAGAATTTCAAAAGTTTACAATTTTAATAGATTTTGATATAGATTAGAATGATTTAATATTAGAAGAGTTGAGTCATTACTAAATAGAAGAATTGGAAGGTAAAAGTATTAATTAATCATCTTATGAATTATTATAATCTCTGTTACCAAGTTCATTATATGTAAATTCAATTTATGAGTCAAAAACTAATTAGAATTATTAATGGGCAATGAGTGGTTAAGCTTTTGAATATCTTAGAAATAAAAAGATAATATATGAACTAATTTAATCATGTTAAATCTTTGGAAGAATGAGTCCCACTTAAAAGAGTGAAGTAATAAAGATATTATAAGAATAAAAACTTCATGTTTGCATGATAGGAGATGGTTCCAATGATTGTCATGCTTTAAAATAATCTAATATTGGAATATCATTTTAATAATGTGATGCAGCTTTAACAGCCTCTTTTGTTAATACTAATGATAGCATAGATTGTATACGTGAAGTATTGTTATAAAGCAAAGCAACTTCATGTAATGTTATGGAAATATTCAAATATTATATGATAATCAATGTAAGTAAATATGTTTCTGCATAATTAATGATGTATCAAATGTAGAATTTCAATAATGAAGAATTACTGTATCTAAATTATTTGAGTAATATTCCTATAGTTGCTATGTAAACCTTAACTCCTCCTTCAAGTAAATTGACTAAAGATAAAATTAATACTTCTATGATTAGTTTATCAAATTTTATTCCTATTTTGATAATTCTAATCTTCAGTGGTTTGAATATGTTGGGAAGTTATTTAATTCTATATTATTAAGAATGGTATTTACCATATGATAAAAATGAGAATGATTCAAGATACTTCTTTTAAGGAGATATGAACACTTAATAATTCATTAACATGAATATTTATTTTTTATTATCTTTTTATTCCATCAATACTTATGCACCATTTAAGATACCTTTTTGGAAACAATATCATTTAAATATTCCAATTTTATTGTTTTTAATCTTGGCAATCCTTATATAATTTGTTTCTATAGAATTTATTGATCAATTTTTAGGATTAACTGAAATAAAATTGAATGGATAATATTAACTTAATCAATACTATTTCAACATTACATTCTCTATTGTAGTAATATTCATAGGAAGATTAGCATGGATTAAATAATATATATTTTAATAATGATTATAAATAAAACTTAATCTAACTTGAATAATATCAATTTCAATGATATTATAATTCCAATAAAGTCTTAGCATCCTTCAAGAAGGGTATAAGTTTTGGAAAATGGCAAAGCGATACAATTATTACAAAGCTATCAAAAAATCCCACAAATAATAACAGAATTTCATTCTCCAATAATAGTGAATAGTATAAAATTAAGAAAGGATTCAAATTATTCATTTTAATAAACATAATAATTGAATGAGAAGGAAAGCAAATCTATGAAAATGGATTCTGAAAATGTGACCAGCAAATTTAAATAAATAAATCCTTAAAGTAGTTTACCATAGATTCCTTTATCAACAATGAACACTTAAACTAAATTAAATGATTTAACACGAAGTAACAATATGGTTTAATCACCTAAAAATAGTGATACAAAAAGATCGTTAGTGAGATCATAATTTAAAACGAACAGCAACAATCAAAAACAAAATATAATAAACAATTCAACAACTACAGGAAGCAGCAAAGATTCAAGTTGTAATTAGAGTAATTAATAATATTAAATATGTGCTAAAAATATAATATACTCATATTGTGGAAAACCAAGAAAAAGAAAAGTGAATGTTTCAGCTAAAAGTTTCATAGTTTATGATTGCATAGAGAATAGAATAGTTTCATAGAGAAAAAGTAATAAGAGAATGGAAATTGCTAGTTTAACCAAAATTATGACATTCTACATAACAATGGTTATCTTAGAACAACTAAATCTCAATTTCAAAGATATTAGAGTTAAAGTAACTAAAAAAGCTTCAGAGACAATAGGTACAACAGCTGAATTAAAATATAATGATATCTTAACAATTTAAGATCTTCTGTATGGATTAATGTTACCATCAGGAAATGATGCTGCTACACTTATAGCTTAAGCAATTGGAACAATAATGTAAATACTAAACTATAAAATTAGATTATTTAATGAAGCAGATAAATATTTAGATTGTACACTATTAGATATTGAACAAATGAGTGCTGAAGGTTATTATTACAATGTATAATTGAAGACTCATTAATGTCCTATTGAAATTTTTATAAACAAGATGAATCATTATTCTAATCTGATTGGATAATAAAATACTCAATTTGCATGTGTACATGGATTAGCTAATGAAGACAATGTATATGTTTTACTTACAGTAGTATTCTAGTTGTTATGATATAGTATTATTATCATAGGAATGCTTAAGATATGATATATTTCATTAAGTTATTTCTTGTAAAGAATACATTTCGAAATCAATCAATAATAGCAAATATTATGAATGGAAAAATACAAATAAATTATTAGAAAAAGGTTTTTTTGGAATAAAAACAGGAGTAACTGATTCTGCTGGACCTTGTTTAGCTAGTGCTTATAGATCAAATGAAATGGAATATTATATAATCATTGTGTTGAGTTGTAAAAATTTATAACTGAGATTTGATGAAACTATTTCATTGTTATAACATGCAAAATACAAAAAGTCTTTGAATTCAATTATATAATGAATAAACCATATAATTACTTATTCAAATACATCATTGTTGGGGATACTAGTAAACATTCTAAACTATTAAAGAGGTGTTGGAAAGAGTTGTCTTCTTCTTTAGTATGTAGATAAAAAATTTAGAAATGATCATGAGGCTACTATAGGTGTTGAATTTGGTGCTAAATAAGTTATTATCAAATCTAAAATAATAAAAATATAGATTTGGGATACTGCTGGTTAAGAGTCATTTCGATCAATAACTAGATCATATTATAGAGGGTATCTGAATAAATTACTTTTAGTTCTATTGGTGCTATTTTGGTATATGATGTTACGAGAAGAGAAACTTTTGAAAATGCAACTATATGGATTAATGAAATCAAGAAATATGGCAATGATAACATTGTTATCATATTGGTAGGAAATAAAACAGATTTAAGTGATATGTATAATTTAATATATATTTAAGTCGGAAAGTATCAGAAGATGAAGCTAAAGAAATGGCAAAAAATAATAGCCTAGAATATATTGAGGTTTGTGCTAAATAGAATTTTAAGGTTGATGAGGCCTTTTAAATTATTACTGAAAAAATATACAAGAAAATTGAATTAAATTAGCTTGATTTATCTAATGAAGTAAATAAATATAAAAGAATTTAGAAATGTGGAGTTAAATTAGGTTCTAAAGGGAGTTTTATTGAAGATGATGAATAAAAAGATAAATAAAAGAAATCAATTTGCTGTTGATAAACTTTTATTCAAAAAATATATATTATCAATTTTATTAAGTCAAAAATTTTATCTAATTTTTAGCTTATTATTGATAAAATAACATAATTTTGTTAGTAATTAAATTTCTTTAAATAACAAGTTAATCTTAATCAGATCTTATAAAGTTTTATGGAAATCTAGAAAGAAATTTGAATAAAGTAAAACAATAATTTGAGTGAATTGTTTTTTTATACATAGTATTTTCTAGAAACTTTAATAGAAATTATATATAGTAAAAGTGATCTTTTTACAGAAATAAAATAATTAAAAATTAGTGATGCAAAAGACAATGTAAATTTTATTCTCGAAATTTCTCTAGCGCCCCAATAGTGAAATGGGCTTAAAGAAAAGACAATGTGTTTTTGACAGTTGAAGCAAGAGATTTGAAAGATGAAAAAGTTGACTTGACTTCAAGCTCACTTAAATTTTCAGCTAATGCAGAAGGTGTTAATTATGTTTTTGAAATTAACTTCTTTGCTGAAGTTGTTGTTGAGGTAAATAATTTATTATATAAATTTTAGGAAAGTAAATGGACCAATTATGGTTTGAATGTTAGATTTATTTTATCAAAGAAAGATAAAACTGCTTCATATTGGACAAGATTAATAAAGGAGACACATAAATTATAATATTTATAAGTTTGAAATATTTTCTAATAAAAGGTTGATTGGACAAAATATATTGATGAAGATGACGAAGCTGAAGAAGGAGGAAAAGGCTTAGATGATTGGGATTAGAACAAATTCTAAAATTTCGATTAAGGTGGTGCAGATGAAGATGATGAAGAAGGTGAAGAAGAATAACCAAAGGAAGGTATACATAAAAGTTTTTAATTTTAGGAAATGTTGATGATTTAGAAAAAGAAGAAGAAGTCTAAAAAAATGATTAAGCACCTAAAGAAGGTGAATAAGAGAAATAAGCAGAGAATAATTGATATGATATTATATCTATGTTTAAATATGAATATTTAAGTTTTCTGTTAATCATTATTATATTAAAAGCAATTGTTATTATTGAATTCTATTGTAGTATTTAAGTAAAATCAATCTATATATGAAAATAATAATAAATATATTTTCAGATTATCATTTGTTTTTGCTTTATTTAAGAATTGAAAATAAGATTACTTCATTTTCTGTTTGCTCTTCTTTAAACTTTTAATCAAGCCGAGGATTTATTTTCTCTTTATCAATAGCTTAAGTACACATTTATAAAGTATCCTTAATCTAAACTACTTCTTCTTCTGGTTCGAAAACACAAACTGTTATGAAATTATCGAAATTAATTCCATATCCACTGTCTTTTGCAATCTTTCTTCCTTTGCTATCATAACGATCACTCCTTCCTAATTTATATCTAATCTTCTTTCTTTAAATGATAATTGGTTCAAAGTCTTCAGGCTCTTCAGGTATATCTTCTTGATCTTCCACCTAAGCTCTACTTAGAACCAATTTGGGTCCTAAACAACTCGTTCGCATGGAAAAGCTAATTTTAATATAATAAACTTTCATTTTTGTTAATAAATAAAAGGAATCTCAAAAAAATTACAACATTAGCATTCAATAAGAATTATCGTATATATACTTTTATTAATTAAAGCTTCAATTAATGTAAATATGGAAATTCTCCTTATCACTATTACTAAATTAATTAAATTATTATTATTCATCGAGCACAAACTAATTCAGATTTAATAGAAACTAATGATAATTTAAATCAACATAAATTTACTAATTTTTATGAAAATTTAACATATTTAGGATTTAACAAATAATGACAATAATTATAATTTTTAGAAATATACTAAATTTATTTTTTTATAATAGTTGGATCAGTTGGGTTTGTTTTTTTTAAAGGATATTTGTTAATAATTATACCTCAGTGTTTGTCACAATTTTTATCATCAAGAATAAAGTTTATTTGTGTTTATTCATGCCCAATTTTAATTCTTAAATGATTATAGTATAAAGTATAACTATTGAGAGAATATTCTAAATACCATAGGTTAGATTTATTATTCTAGTTTCATTTAGCATTTAAGTAGAATATATACTTTCTTTTAGGATAGTTTTGGTTACAATATAAGATTTTTAATACATTCAAAAGATATAGAGAGACTGATGTTTGCTAACATATATTTTCATTCTTGAATTAAGTTTTAGAAATTTAGAGAGTAGTAAAATTCAGTATTATTAATATATAATTTGTAGGGCATTACATCTCTACTGATATCAAATTTTCTTTTATTATATAGTCCTAAGTTTTTTAAGGAATTAAATAAGTTATTTAAATGACTTTGATAAAGAATAAGTAATGATACAATTAATTATGGTATATTTATTTCTATTTATCAAAATTTCTCATTAGATTTAATAAAATAAGAGACATTTAAATAAAAATTGGGGAATATTTGAAAATAAAATCATTTTTTATCTTATATATCATTCAATTTTAAAAAGCTTTTAAAAATAATTTTTAAGAAAACTTTAATAGTTTGCTATTATTGATTTCTAAATAGGTTTAGATGTATCAGTAAAATTTTATTTTGGTTTCTTGATTTATAATTAAATCTGATGATTTTTGGGGAAAAGAATACTTTAATCTTCAATGGATTTGCTCATTTGAATTATAGTAAAAGGAACTATTAATATAGAATAGCTAAAAATGATTATTAATTTTTATTTTACAACTGAATAGTTTTGAAAAATGGAAAAAATGTAATCAAGAGATTGAAGAATTAAGAAAATGATTTGGTTTATGATTAGATTTTGGATTATTGATTATAATTATTATTTGTAATAGTCTTAAAAATAATTCGGTTTCATTTACATAAATGTTCAAAATAAAAGTTGTGAAACATTAAATAGACTTTTTTGATTAAGTATTATATTTAAATACTTAATTTCAATTAAATAGACGAAAATAATGAGATATTAACAACTTAAATCTTGTCAAATAATATCGAAATTTATTATAAAATATTTTTGAGATTGCTGTCATATTTTTGAGATTGCTGTCATATATTTGATTCAGCCTAATTAAATAATAATTTGATATTTTAAAAATAATCAAATTAGATCAAATCTGTCTCCTTAACTTATTAAAGCTTCTTCTAATTTTTGTTATAAAGTTTGTTCATTTGAATAGGGAGGTAGTCCAATTGAACGAGCACTATTTATAAAATTTTAGTTATACCATGTATGCCCTTCAGGGTATCTTGAATCAATATCATTTTATAGATTATTAAGTAATACTATTGTGATTCTACACTCTTTATTTGAAAATCCTCCAATAGGTAAGTTGGTTCGACCTTAAATTAATTTAATTTTTACTTGTTGCTAATTTTAAAAACTTTACTAACATATCTTAATTAAAGTTCCTCAATGTGTTTTAAAGCCATTTAATTACTTAATTTTAGGCATTACAACCTTGATAAATTAGGTTACTTATAAGATCCTCAACTAAGGAAATTATATTAATATAATACCATCTATATATTATTCACCACATAACAATTATTCTAATTGAATTGAATCAAAAATTTTAATATCATTTTTTGGTATAATTGAATAAAACCCTTCTTAAATAGCTTTAATTTAATTTTCAATATTTTTTGCCATAATTTAATAACAATACTTTCTAACAAAATCTTTTTTATCTTCTTCTGTAACTTCAATATCTGAACCTCCTGGTTTAAGTTCTTCATCTATAAATACTCCGTTTCTCTTAATATTATATAACCAATATAAATTCCAACTAGAATCAATCTTCTAATTATAGATAGTATTCAAAGAATTATAAATTCCTTCATCATGTTATTGGATATCAGATCTAGATAATTTTTAGCCCACAATGTGTTTAAAATAAGAATTTGGAAAATAACCTTTTATATTAACTTTGCAGATAATTGCAATAGCCATAAACATTCCAACAAATTTAAACTTTCTAAGATGATCAGGATCAGTAGATTCAGTGTTTATTAAATAACAAGTATTATCTGAATTAGGTATAAATAGTTAATATTATTAATCTAATATTGATTTTGAAAGTTTGCCAATCCAATCTGTTGTCATTCCACCTCCATCTTATCCAATTTCTCCATCATAAAGAATGAAAAATCTTTTAAATCTGAAAATATCAAGAGAACTTATTTTTGTTATCTCATTGTATGAATCTTCAAATATTTAGGATTTTGATACTTTAATTGGGTATCTTTAAAGCTATTATTAACTTAATCTATTTATTTCTAATTTAGAATAGAAATAATTTTTCTTATTTTAAAAATTAATTGCTTGAGGATGAACATTCAAAATTCCTTCTAAAAAATCTTTTTCAAAAAGTTGATTATTTTCTGTTAATCTATTCCTTCTTACTTTCATCATTTTACACTCATTGTTCATAATGTTTATTTGTTATTTTACTATATGATTGATGTAATCTTTTCCATTTAAACACAATCTTTTAAATAAATTTTCAAAATCTATTAATATTTCTGTAGATATTTCCATGGAAGATATCTTTAAGAATTGTAAATTTTAAGTATTAAATTGACTTTTAGTTTAATAACATATCAAAAAGGCTTTAAGGAGAGGCAATAATCTTGAATCATTTAAATTTTAAATTTAAGATATTAAACTCTCTAAAACATTAAATAATCTTTAAACTTCCTCTGAATTTAAAAATTCCTAGCATTAGTAATGATTATTTTCATCTTTTCTGAATATAATTTAAATCATCTAAAATATTTTTTCTAATTCATTTAACTATTTAAATGCTTATTCAACTTATAATTAATTCAAAAATTAATTATTATAATATTCAGAAATTTTATTAATTTTTATTTTATTCGCAGCCATAAAGTGAGTAATATTATGCTCTAGTCTTGATATCAAATTCATGCAATTAGTACTATTTTTCATATCCTACTAGCTTAGCAAAAATTTATATAAATTTAACACTTAATTTGGAGCTAATTAGAAGTTATATTTATCTTCTTAATTTCCTAAAAATTGAAGGAGGTTCTAAAGACTTTTGCCTTTTAATTTATAGAGAAGCTCTATCAATTCTTAAGCATTCTCATCTGATATATTTGAAGTTGATGTTAATTGTAATTAAATAAATAACTTTAAGGCTTTTAATTAAACAAAATTTTTGGTTTATTCTAAATCTCTTATGACTCCATTTTTTGAAATTATAAGAGGTTCTTAATCAACATTTTCTTATCTTTAATTTTAAGTAGTCATTTGCAAAACTTTAATTATATCTTGAGTTATTTAATTACTAAAATTGCCTTTTGTTCCTATACTTATTAAAAATTCATTTATATAAGTATTATTTGAGCCAAAATCATCATCTACATAGAAGAATTTTAAGAAAAATTATTATATCAATTATCGATCTATATTACCTAAATGCTTCAAGGTTTATTTTCGATTTTTCAATGCAGAATTAACAATATTTTAAATTTTTTAAAATTAAGAAATTGTACTTGGTTGAATATTTTATTCTAACTGTAATTATTAAGGTAATTGATTTTCGATTTCAATATGTTGATTGTTTTATAGGTCCATTTCAGTAAACGTTTCAAAAATACTAAATTAATCATTATCCCTTTCATTAAAAATATTATTATTTATATTTTGGTTTTAAAAGTTTTCAAAAATTTAATCCATATTTTAGATTTAAATTCTATTTTACAATATATGCATTGTTTCTCTTCTAGAATTCAAAGAATTTTATATTTAATCATAATTATTATTATATAAATTCTATTGCCAACTAATAATCCTTCTCACCAATTAAATTTTATTTTATTCAGGCAATCTATGTTAAAATTCTTATAAGTTTATTTAAAATTAACAAGGAAAGATTAATCCTGTAAATTAAATAGTTCTATATATCTAATTTTCTAATTGTTAATCTGATACACTATTGATAAAATTATTGAAATTATTTTCAATCTCTAAATAATTTTAAGTTTCTTGTTCTAAATTCTGGTCGAGCTCCTCCGTCCAATAATTTAATTCTTCTTCTAATTCTTTTGTACAAACTTCTACAGAATTATTTATTTCAGGAATAGTTTATAAACTATCTGTTGGAATTAATGGTTCTATATTTTAATAAGTATTCTCTTAAAGTTATCCATTTTTATTGAATAAAAATGGCCAATTTTATATATAGAATTAAAATTATATATTTTTCTAATTTCTATTTTCAAAAAACTTATAGTAGGTATAAATAGTCTAAAATAGTTAACAATTAATTTCATTTGAATTTATTTGTCCAATGATTCCTAATCCCATTTAATAATCTTTTAAAGAATGAGTAATTATCGGTTCAGTCTTTTCTAAAATTAAGTTGGTAGCAACATTATATAAAAGATTCAAAGTTTTTATCACAAAAAATATTTGATCTTTTTGGATGAAATAGTTATTAATATTGAAGTTTTTTATTCCATCTATATATAATTTAATAAAGTTATATGAATTATCAGGTTCTTCAATATTAGATATGCAAATCTTGCCAACAGATTTTATTTATAATAATGTGACTAAAATATTAGAAGTGCTAAGCAATTTTTCATCTAAATTTTTTATTTATCTACTAATCTCAACATACAGCTATTTTATTATTAATCTTCTAATCTCATAAGCAAATGGAACAATGATATTATTTTATTTTTTAAATAATACTAAAGTATCCAAACAAATACAAAATATAAAATTCNTTAATCATTATCCCTTTCATTAAAAATATTATTATTTATATTTTGGTTTTAAAAGTTTTCAAAAATTTAATCCATATTTTAGATTTAAATTCTATTTTACAATATATGCATTGTTTCTCTTCTAGAATTCAAAGAATTTTATATTTAATCATAATTATTATTATATAAATTCTATTGCCAACTAATAATCCTTCTCACCAATTAAATTTTATTTTATTCAGGCAATCTATGTTAAAATTCTTATAAGTTTATTTAAAATTAACAAGGAAAGATTAATCCTGTAAATTAAATAGTTCTATATATCTAATTTTCTAATTGTTAATCTGATACACTATTGATAAAATTATTGAAATTATTTTCAATCTCTAAATAATTTTAAGTTTCTTGTTCTAAATTCTGGTCGAGCTCCTCCGTCCAATAATTTAATTCTTCTTCTAATTCTTTTGTACAAACTTCTACAGAATTATTTATTTCAGGAATAGTTTATAAACTATCTGTTGGAATTAATGGTTCTATATTTTAATAAGTATTCTCTTAAAGTTATCCATTTTTATTGAATAAAAATGGCCAATTTTATATATAGAATTAAAATTATATATTTTTCTAATTTCTATTTTCAAAAAACTTATAGTAGGTATAAATAGTCTAAAATAGTTAACAATTAATTTCATTTGAATTTATTTGTCCAATGATTCCTAATCCCATTTAATAATCTTTTAAAGAATGAGTAATTATCGGTTCAGTCTTTTCTAAAATTAAGTTGGTAGCAACATTATATAAAAGATTCAAAGTTTTTATCACAAAAAATATTTGATCTTTTTGGATGAAATAGTTATTAATATTGAAGTTTTTTATTCCATCTATATATAATTTAATAAAGTTATATGAATTATCAGGTTCTTCAATATTAGATATGCAAATCTTGCCAACAGATTTTATTTATAATAATGTGACTAAAATATTAGAAGTGCTAAGCAATTTTTCATCTAAATTTTTTATTTATCTACTAATCTCAACATACAGCTATTTTATTATTAATCTTCTAATCTCATAAGCAAATGGAACAATGATATTATTTTATTTTTTAAATAATACTAAAGTATCCAAACAAATACAAAATATAAAATTCTGAGGAGGAATTAAATATCTTGTTATCAATGTAAGAAATGAAATTTTGGTAGGTAATTGTGAATGTTCTTATCCAGTTTAGTTAAAAAATTTTTCAAGAAATTATCTACAATTCATTCTTAGGATATATGGTAAAAGTAATGGAAATTTAGAAATAAGTAATAACAAAACTTCAAATGGAATTTTCCAATTATATTTTTGCTCTTGATTGTTATCAAAATAATAGTTAATCATTTGTTTAACTAAAAGTTTCAAAAGGATTTATGTTTCTTTTTTATGTTTGAAATTATATTATAAAATTGCATTTCCATTTTATTTTATGCTATCTAATGTATCAAGTCGAATTCCTTTTTTTAATATCAAGCAGTCACTATCGACTGATTGATCAAATAATAAATTCATAACATATTAAATATCTTCCTCATAATTTTTATTTTTTTAAAGTATCTCTAATGCTGGATGATTTTTGGATATTTTGTATTATTCTTTGGTCTAAACATTATATTATGCAGGTTGCAAACAAATAGGATAGGTATTTTCATTTTTATAATATTTCAACTCTAATTCTTAATTTTTATTTTAGACTTTTTCCAGATTTTCTTCATCAAAAATAATTTTCTTTATATATGCTTCAATTTAAGCCCTAATAATAGTTTTATCATAAACTATGGCTAACATTAATTTTGAAAGACTTATAAAATGATTATAAGAGTCTGTACTCACTTTAAAGACTAATTCTAAACCCTTCATTTATTAGACAAACTGATTTATGCATAAACTACTTTTTTAAAAAACTTTGACTAAGATATCAATACATATCTAAAAAGTAATTTCATTTTAAACATCAGAATCAAGTATTTTTTAGACTTTTTCTAATATTAATTTCAGAGATACTTGATTCTCTGTTATTAACTTACTCAAAACTGCTAATGTATAATTAACAGCTTTAATTTTAAATTAATCAGCTTAATATAATAAAACATCAAGGAATTTAAGCAATTCTATTGCTATTGAATCTAATGATTATTATTGTTATTTTTATAATTGTTGATCTTATTTATAAAGCAAACTCAGGACTAAAATTATAATTTTAAAATTATAATCTGGTTGGTTAAGCATTTCATTTTCAATTCCTTAAAATTGTAGATTTAGATTAAATTATTTCTAAATAGATTATTGTAAAAGGCTTAATATTTCGGATAAATTAAGTTGTAGCTGTAGTCCATTCAAAATATCAAAGTTTGAAACAAAGTCTATATTTTCCTTAAATAATAGTCTTATTGATTCCTACTAAGATTTAAATTGCTGAAGAAGTGATTCATCATATTATTAAATTTATGTACCTCTATTTTAGTTCTATCTTACAAGATCAATATATAAAGGATTTCTTCCAAGTCTAATTATATTTTATTCCCTTGAGTGCATTATTTATTCTAAAGGACTTCTTAATTATTATTCAAGAATTCTATTTAGTGAAATATTATTTTATTCAGAGAGTTGTAGAATTCTTGGATTTGCAATTTTATTTCCTAATATTATTAAGAATTTCTAAATTTTCTTTATGCTTTCTTGTGTTGAATTTTTTGTTATTTCTACTAAGGAACATATATCTGGTATTATTTATGAAATCATTAATAAATCTTTCATCATGATTGGAAATTAATAAAAGAACTTCAAAATTTCATAAATAGCCATGCCTAATTCATCTATTAATTATTTGTCTTAGCAATCAGTATTCAGCTATAAAATATAATTCTTTATAGCATCTTATAAATGCCTTCTAAATTATGAGTTGATAATAATATTCTTAACTATTTAATAAGGTTTATATAAAGACAATATAATCTCATTTATGTTTTTTAGTAATTTTAAAGTCAGAGTAGGAGTGTTATTTGATTTAAAAATAAGTCTAACAAATAACCTATTTATTGGCTATAAATTACAATTATTTTTAGTTATTGCTAATTTTAAAATTTTAAACAAAAGATTTGAAACAATTTTATTTTCATTTTCAGTGACATAAGCTATTTCTAATAAAGCACAACATTTATCAATTAGTTTATCAAATAAAGTTTAAGCTATAATTTTATTTTAATTATGAAGTTATGCTAAATAATGTAAAATTTCTGAAGACTGAGAAGCCATTTCGTATGTTTAAGTAGAACAATTTTCTAAGAATGTTTTCTAATTAAAGGACAATTATGTTGTTTATTCTAAAGTACATCCTAATTATCTTTCCAATTTATTTATTAATTACAATACTTTTTCTATACATTAATCATAGTTAAAACCCTAAAATAAATAATTAAATTACTTTAATAAAAATAAACATATTAAAGCTAGGGATCTTGAATAAATTGGCAAGAATATCAAAATATCCCTTCTATTATAAATATCTAGATAAATTTTAATTAAAAAAAGAATTAAATAATAGAATTTATCTTTTTTTCTTTTGAATCTTTTTAAATTCTTGTTAAAAATCTTAATTAAAGTTTAAATTTTATTATTGATTATTTAATTATTCCAATTATTAACTTAATACTCTGACTAGTATTTCATGTATAAAAACATTACTCCTATTATTTATAGTATAAAATCTAACTATAAATATTGCTAATTAGAATAACATTTAATCATCAGTGTCATCTTTAGTAATTAATTGATAATTTATTATAAGTTCAAGAAATCTTTTTCCATACTCATAGAATTAATTAATTTCTTCTCTTCTTGTAATATGTGCATAAAAAGAAAAAATTGAAATAGTAAATTCTGGCTTTATTTCTTCAGGACTCATTCTTATAATAATTTCATTTAAAATATTAGGTAAGTTAGAACTAAGAATTTTATCAATTAGTTAAAAATTTGCATTTAATAAAGAAGAAATTAATTGTAAAGTTTTGCAAATGGTTTTAGTTAATTATTGTGGTTATAATAATAATAAATTTGCAATATAATCTAGAACATTAGAGTTAGAAATCTTTGTAGTTGATTCATGTATAAAATCTATATTTTCATTAATAAGTTGATCTTGCTCAAACATACTAAAATGCAGCAAGTTAGTCTATGTTTGCCTAATTAGAGCTTCAATGCAAGAATTCATAATAATATCTGCATCTTTTTCATTTATTTAAACATATCCATTTTAGGTTGGTTTTTGTAGGCTAAACATTTTATTAGTATAGAGCTCAACAATTTATAAAAGAACATCTATATTCTAATAGTTTATATTTGGATCATGATTTCTTATCAAATAACTTAGGAATTATAGTGCTTAATTTAATTATTCAGGTTGCAACAACATTTTATTATCTTGTATATTAAGAGATCTAATTAAAAGTTTTATTGTCTCATTGTACTCATCCCAAGAAAATTATCTTGTTTTTTATAAATGACTTAAAAAAGTCTTGATGATACTACAAGTTAATTATTCATTTCTAACTAAATTTTCAGAAAGAATTTCAGGATAGTACTTTAAAGGATATCCATCAGTTAATTCATTTTATTCTATTTGTTTCATAGACAATACATCTGAAAGCAATTATTAAAATTAAATATTTTTTTAAAAAGTCTTAATTAATTTTTCTCCTAACTATGGATCTATGGTTTAAAGTTTAAATAAATTAAAATAATCTGTATTTTTTACATCTTTAATAAGAGAATAAAAAAAAGCTACACTTCCTTCTTTGTCCCCATTTATTAAATTCAATTATCTTTTATGATTCATTAGAATTCTAGATGTTTTTAGATGTAATTTGATTATGATATTTTTAGTAATTTATGGATTAATTTATAAACCTCTTTTAATTAATATTCTATATTTTACAATTTCAATTAAGGGCGAAAAAGGTTCATTTTGCTTATTTAATAGATTTCTTGATAAAGTGAGAGCTGAAATTGAATCATCATCTACTATTTATACTTTCTATAAAAATCAAAATAAGATTAATACTTTAAATTAGAATACATTTTATTATCTTTTATGATTATGAATTTTATTTTTACAAATATCATCATAATTAGTTTCTAATTAGGTTGGTTCATTATATTCAATATCAAATTATAAAGGAATTCTAAGATTCATTTTATTTTCTTCATATTTCGGATCCTCTTAATAATAATCAATTAAATCAAATTTTTTTGATGACAGATAATTGATATGTTCATATAAAACTTTTTCAAAATGCATTAATCTTGTGAAATAATTCTGAGTATTATTTTGATGGTGTTTAGGTAAATGACAAAAAATCTGAAAAACCTTTTCATAAATAAGTAAACTGTCTGTGTATTCAATTATCTTGAGCAGATCCTCATAAAATTAATATTATTCTTTAAATGAAGGAAACCTACAGCCTTTAAATAATTAATTGATTAAATTCAAGATCTAAGAGCAATCATATGTAGAATCATTTTTTATCTCTATTAATATTTATTTTATATTTTCTTTGATTTTCTCCATCAGATGTTCAAAAAGAAATCTACTTTTATAAATTTTATGTAATTTAAGGGCATCTTTTATCAAGTTTCGTAAATCTTGAATGTTAAAAGAATCTATCATTTCTTTTATCTAAATATGTATTTCTAATTACTTATGCTACTTCTTCAGTCATTTCATTTGATAATTCTTCTTCTAAATAATGTGGATGTAAAATTAACATAATATTAAATATATTAGATCAAAAATCCGCTAATAAAATTTTAAGGATACTTTCCCTTAAATAATGTACATAATAATTATTTTCATAGTTTTTTGTTAAACTAATAAATTATGAAATAATTGGTATGATAGTGATTATTAAAATTGTTTTGTATATAAATTTATCAAAAAATGATAATGAATTAGAAAGTAATACAATAGCTATTGTAAAGAATTTTTATCAAACAAAAAATGAAACTAATATATGTATAATTTATGTCTGTCACTATAAGAGTTCTTACTAATAAATTCTCCTCTATTTTACTAATTTGATACCCAAACTATTTCTATTAATTTCTCTCATATAATTATATGAATTAATTTAATAAAATTTTGAATAAAAGAAAATAATTATTTCATAAATGGCATCATAAGAACAAAGGAAAAAACGATAAAAACAATAAAATTTGAATTGCTTTAATGTTATATGGATAACATTATAGTGTATTTTTATTTAGACTGTTAATCATTGATTTATATAAGAAAGAGGTATATGATGTAAATTTAATCTTATCATAATATAATTTTGATAATAAAATTATTAGAATTTATAAATCTAAATTATCATGATCAAGAAGTGGATAAAGAATATTTTTTTAAGTGAAATCCTCCGATTCATTAAAATATTAAAAAGTTGTTAACAAAAAATTAATAATTTAAAATTTTTTATATCGATATTCAATCACTTACAAAATCTTCATCTAATACTATTCCAAAATCATCATCATTTAAGAATTCTGATTCAAGTTCTAGTTTCTGTGCAATTTTACTATGTGTCTAATTCTATTTCTAAAATTTCGATTAATTTAACGCAGCTTAAAATTCTGAATAGTAATTTAATTGTTGATTTTCTAATTGATTCATTGAGTTTGGTTCATTTGATTTATTTGGTTTTCTTTTAGTCTCACTGAATTACATAATTTCATCAAATTGTTATTATTCTTTTGTCTTTTTGGGTTATTATAAAGACTTTGAAATCTTATAAAGTAATTTTTTTAATCTCTCTTCACATTAAGGAACTGAAAATCCTGTCTCTTATTCAAAATTACTTAATGGAATCCCATAAAATGCATAAGTTAATAATCTAGCATCCTTTTCATTATTCCATTTGTGTAATTAATTTGCTAATCCTTTTTATTTAAATTAATCCTAAATGTATTTTGGATATCTTTCAGGCATTCTTTTAAATATCTCACTCCAATCTCCATTATATAATTCATATAAAAATAGTAACATTTCTTCATCTTCTCTATACCAATATTAATTTAAAAGAACTAAATCTTTATCTTCACCTTCTAGATTTAAACAAGAATCTCTTATTTTTGCGAATCTTCTTTTGCATGAAGCAATATCTTTTGTTTTTACAACTTTTTATACCATTTCCCAATCTTTACCAAGTTTATCAACCATTTGCAACAATAAAATATCTTCATTTAATTCCCATATAGGTTTAGGTTTTTAATTTATCAGATTTTTATATCTCTCTTCTAATAATGGTTTTGATTTAATATTCATCACTTTAGCAATCTTATCCCAATCTCTTCCATATATTTCAACTCCTTAAAGTAATTAATTATCTTCTTATTTAGTCCACGTTCTTCCAGGCTACACCTTTTTCATTTTAAATTACTATTCAAATTAAAACTTATTGTTCAATTCATAATCGCTAAATATTACAATACAATTTAATTACTTTATAAAATCATTGAATTTATTAGAATTTCTTATTTCACAAATTTCTTCTTTACTTCTTTTTATACCATAAAATTACTATGTTTAGTCTTATCATCTTTTAAAAATTTAAAGAATATAATTTAAATATATCTTCTACAACTTTAAATTTATTATATAAATCAATTTTAAATGTAATCATCTTTTTTTTTATTTTTTATCATCTTCTTCCTCTTCAATTAAGTTTAAAGCTTCTTATTCTATTGATTAAGCTTAGTAAACGTAGGCCTATGGTTTTAAAATTTCAAGCAATCCATTTTCACTAAATAATAAATAACAATCTTTAAATTGTTTAATATGTCTTATTTATTCAGTTGAATTAGTTCCATATAAGGCAACTATCTATTATTTTTCATTTTTCTAATAAATTTCCTTTCCGTTTCCTACAAAGTATTTGAATTCATGGTCAGCTATAACATCAATCAAGTAATCTTCATGAAATTCATCCTAAAAATAAATATAAAATAATACATTTTTAATGGCTTAGAATTGATATAGTTTTTAATCATTTTATTAATCTAAAATAGTTATTTAATTTGTGGTTGTAACACAAAAACATAAATTGTTCCAATAACCACAAGAATTAAGTGGTTAATCGAATCTAATCATCATTTATAATGATTCTTCTTCATTTTTTTATGTCAAATCATATTAAACTAATAAACCATCAGTTGAAGATGATAAAAGTTATGTTTAACATTAAGGATGAAAATTTAATGAAGATAATTCTTCATTTTAAGATGAATCAAATCTGGATCTCCATTTCCTAACATTAAGATCATAAAAATCAATTCTTCCATCACTTCCACCTGCTAAAATATGTTTAGATTTTGCAATTGAAAAAAATTCTTTTTCGTTCTTAAATTAATGAATTTATTATTTAGATTGTAAATCAAACATTTTAATTGTTCTATCATTAGAACAAGTAAATGCAACATTATTTTCAACTATCAATTATTA